CGCGTGGCCGTAGTGACGCCGCATGCCTTCGATATTCACCGTCATTGTGAATAGCATCGGCACATATCCGTGACTAACAAACACTAGTTGCTTCCGGTTCTGCCTACTTTTTCGCTGTCATCTCTTTATATTTAAATCGTCTTTTTCCGTATATGTACGAACTCACGCCCAGCTGATGCGCTTGCCTAGATTATCCCTGATACCATGACTGCCATACTCAACAGTAAAAAAAAAAGATAAACAAGAAGAAGAAAGCAACGTTGTTACGTTCACTCTGCGGATTCACGTGGAAAATATTAACCTAATTATGAGGCAAGCAGTAGCCGATGGCTCCGTTGGCCACATGGGGCAGGCAAAGAGCCCGCAAAACCAGCACTTGCTGCAGTGCGATCACATCAAATTGAAACCGGACATGGGAGTGCAGCACCAGGTTCTCCAATAGGGGCCAGGCCCGTATTTTTGCCGTGGCAAACGGCCTGCAAAACGACACTGGACCCTATCCACCTGTCCAGCCCACACTTAGCGAAAGAGGTGCCCCATCTTTCACATTCGAAAAAAAAAAATCTGCCTACGTCAATGGGGGAACCCGAATCCCATCCTAGAACCCTCTACATCCCCTATACTGATTGGACATGTCCTACAGAAAACAAGTATCGCAATTGATGCAAAAACAAAACAGACATACTGGTCACATAGGTCTGCGTTTGTTTTCAAACTTTGCGGGAGTGAAGACGGGCAGACTTCTTGCAATATGCTATCAGGAGACTTCGGCCATCAATATCGTCAAAACTTGCACAGCCCTGCATGCACGCTAAAACAATGACGAAGAGGCGGAGCAGACTTGGCGCCCCCCCCCCCCCTTACATGAATGGCCTCAAGTGCGCGCGCCTAAGCAGCCGGCGCCAAGCCTCAGTGCCTTTTAGCGCGAAATGACATACGAAGCAAGACTGCTAGTCGGCCCAGCTTGAACGAATTCGTCATTTAGCCACTTTGTGCGAGACAAACAAGGACGAAGCAAGAAGTGTGACAAACGAGTGCAATCTAACAATTGGTTTGTTTTTGAAAATAGATCTTCGTCGTTTAGCCACTTTGTGCGAGACAAACAAGGACGAAGCAAGAAGTGTGACAAACGAGTGCAATCTAACAATTGGTTTGTTTTTGAAAATAGATCTTCTCAAGTAGCCAACATTATCTGCGCGACCTCGTAAAAAAACACGTCACTCACGCACATAACAATCACGTGTGATTACAACATTTCAGATTACCGCGTTCACACCAACAGACTACGTCAAATGCACTTTTAGCAAACAACTAGTTAAGATAAAAAATCGTGCGGGATCGAATAACGCGGCTGCATTTTCGACAAAGGCGAAAATGCTGTAGGCCCATTTGCTCAAATTTGGGGTACATTAAAGAACCCCAGGTGGTCGAAATTTCCGGAGCCCTCCGCTACGGCGTCTTTCATAATCATGTGGTGGTTTCGGGACGCTAAACCCCACATATAATCAATATAAAAAATGACACTAAGCGGTGTGTCAATGAGCGCTTTAAAAAACACGAATGACCCCTAGCAACAGGTGCAGGCTCGTTTAGCTCACCACTGCGGAAGTGCTAATGTCAAGGTTTGTAATACTGACCACTGTCTTAAAAAAAAGAGCTGTGACAGACGCACTGCCCGCCATTCATCGGAAGGAATTCTCATGCATTTATTGGGTTCGCAGTGCATTTGTGTTCCTTGTTTAACCTTGTTTAGCACTGAAATTTCTTTTTTGGATGTGCTATCATGAGTGCGCTCGGTTGGCCTAGTTGTGCTGATGGCTGCATATGGTGCACATTACGCAAGCTCATCCAGCATCTGCTTGGCATAAAGCGAGGAGAGACGCAAGAAATGATGCCAGTTTAAAGTACAAAAAAAGTCACTTGCCATGTTTTATTTCTTAGGGTGTCGTTTCGCCCTTAAAATACCGATTAATTAACGCCAACTAGTTCGCTAAAGCATTGTGTTAAAGCCATGTCTTCTGTATTTAGCAACAAGTGCATGGCTATGAGGCTTCATGTCCCGGCGGGTACATGGATATATGAGCACTGCTCAGTATTAGCTGTGTTGTATCCTGCATCTAATCCTGCATCTGATCACACATGCTATGCACTCGTAAAAGCTGTTGAACTTCCTTTCACGTTCATTCTAATGTCTGAGAAACTTGGTCGAGTTGGTAGATATGTTTGAAGAAGGTATTAGCGTGCAGCGCTTAACCGATTAGGACTTGCAAGTGGAGGAGAAGAGCGCTGACTTACGACTAATTTCATTTCAGTCGAAAAGTGCACGTACAGCACACTATGACAAAAAGGAGTGAAACGAGCAGAAAAAAAAAACGTTCCTGCAGATCTCTCGCGTTGTGGCAATCAATTTCAAGCTAAGCGTTCAACGAGTCTGTGCTGCAATTCTAGATTTTAGTAAAGCGTTACGAGGTGAGTCGACATATTTTTGTCATTCTAGGAGTCGCGTGCACATAGGCTCGCAGGAACGTCGACTACACTTGAATTTAAAGGCTGACTTATCGCCTGACGTGACGTCAGCACTCACGCCAGAGCTCGGTTGTTGGTATTATCGAAACGAAGTGCACTTTACGGTGCGTTGATGTGGATATCACACGTAACTTCTGCTACCGTATTACTCCGAACATTTAATAACGCTTAAATATAACCTGCTGACTCACAGAAGTACCAAGGTAATGCTTGTTAGACTTCTACAAAAGCGCGACCAACATTGTAACCATGATCAGTTTTTACCCGACATGATACCGTAATCATAGAAATAGATATTTGTTGCTTTGTTAGAACCTCGAAGAGCCATCAATGCAACCACAACTGACGGTTGCACCGACATAACGGCTGCAGGGTCTTTTTCCGAAGCAGTTTCAAGACCAGGCATGGCTCTGTAGTAGAGCACATGAATGCCATGCAGAATGATTGGATTCAACCCCTGCTGAGGCCCCAGTTTCTATTCTTTGCATTCGTATGGTTAACGCTTCCGATGTAAGTTTTTCTTAACGCTATCACATTTAAATGACCAATTTCTGCTCTCGCCGTTCTACAGGATAGACTGTCAATCACTTGTGGCGCATACCGCGGCTCTGGGTAGACGGTCATATGCCAGACATGTATGGAGGAAAGGGTTTGACGACGTAGGCGACAGGACTTTCACATTATTCATGTGAAGACCAGACAGTCATAACCGTCAAACCTTCTTGCCCTACCATGTTAACTTTAGTTTTCACCACGTTAGCGGGGCCCTAAAGAGAAATATAAACCAGTTTAGATTGGTAAATTGCAGTTTGAGGACTCGAATGGCGTTAATTTTTCCATCATATGCTTCATATTAAAAAAAACAAGTGCAAATTTTTGTGTTTAAACTTCGCGCTGAAACCACCACGCGTGACGTCACGAATTTTAAAGCGCATTTATCGTATTTCGCTGCCATTGTCTTTACGAAATTGCCTCTATAGCTTGGTATGTGAAGTCTGTGGCTTCCTCATGGGGTAATTTCGTTGACTTTTACTGAACCGCGTAGGCCGTACTGGATGCCACATGACGTTACGGCGAACGGTGCGGACTCATCAGGGTCGCGTCGCCAACCACATTTGCCTTTTGCGCGTTTTCTCGCCTACTACGGTAATCCACCGTAGTGTACGAAAAATCTTCTTGCTCTTTAGTGTCGCTTAAACACGCAGTCCGCTAGATAGACAGATAGAAAGCTTCGAGTTTACTGAGTTCGTTAAAAAATTCTTCGAAAATGTAGCCGCATAATCGCACATCACTAGACACGCATGCAGCAGGCAGTCTTATGCACCCTTAATCCCGGCAAAATAATCAATTTTTTAGAACACAATGAAGAGTGCAAAAGCACTGACGTCGCCCAGCTTGCATGAATTGGCGCTTCAATATTGATACGTGTATGGAACTACACGTAACAATATTATCGCGCGTTCAGTTACGCTCGAGTCCTCCGCGATAGCACGGCGCTCGGCTGTTAACTCAACGGCCGCGAGCTCGACTTACAACCGCGGTGGTCACATTTCGATGAAGGCGAAATACTAGACGCCTGTGTGGTGCCAGTGCACGTCAACGAATACCAGACGGTCGAAATTTGTGGAGTGATCGGACCAAAGTGCGTGTTTTTCGGTCAGCTTATCTGTGATTATAAGCCGGGTTAACGAAATCAAAATTGAGGTTGTGTGTTTATATGTATAATGAGGAACGAATAAAAGTTAGGATGACTAACAGTTGAGCGTTTTGGTACGGGTTCATGATGAAACAAGCTGTTTGTGATAGTGAAGGTGGTAATACATCACGCGCATTCTTGTGATGTATTATAATAACGTTATCTCCGAAATAAAGAACAAATTCAGTTGCTTGTAAGTGCTTCGTCCTGTGTCCTTTCTACGTCCTCGTGCATATTGTGTTTGTTTCATCATGAACAAATGAAATGTTCCATTAATTACAATTGAATGCCCAGAAAAAATAGCATTTTTCTAGAAAAAACAGCGGTCATCCTAAATTTTATCTGTTGCTCATCATACATATAGACACACAACCTCCATTTATCTATTTCGTTTTGTATGTCAAATAGCTCTTCCATTGTATTCTAGCCTATACAAAATTTGTTCGCATCCATCGAAATATTCGGCCGATCCCACGTACCCTGGGAATCGATGTTATGCGAGGCATGCATCAAGCTTGTTATGTCACACTTTTAACTTAACCTGTGTCAAGTTAGGGAGACGATCACGAGAGCACCCAGGCGTAGGTAGGTAGAAAGGTAGGTAGAGATGAAAATGCTCTAAGTGATTTAGTTTCGCATAGAAATTCTACAGACTGAAAAAAAAAAACATGTATATGCCTTCTTGACTTATAACGTACTTTATACACTCGTACACTTTACTTCTCTTACAACCAGCGAATGTGGATGGGTCAACGTACAAAACACTGAGTTATTGCAGTGACCCACTGGAAACATCGAGGTGAAGCCATGCAGGATGTCCTCTGGAAGTGCCTCTCCACGGGCCTTGTAGCGGGTGTCGGCGCAGTCCTCTTGCAGTACTTCTGGGGTGTGCTCAAGAAATGGCTGCGCAAGGACCTGCCGCCAGGACCCTGTGGCTTGCCGCTGCTTGGTTGCCTGTTCTCCATGCCTAAGAACCATCACGGCGTGGAGGTTTTCAGAATGAAATACGGCAACGTATTCGGGTGCGTAAGCACTCACTGTTCAAGGGCCTCAAAGTTGCGTTTGAACGCGGGCTCGTAATGAAAGCACAACAAAAACACGCGCTGTGCAAGCTATGATTCAACTAATATATATATATTTTTTTGCTCACAGGGGCCAAGAGACACAATTTTAGATCATTTTGTGACTTAATCCCTGTACATTCACAAATAAGCTGGCGAATGTATACCCATTTGGTCAAGTATTTAATTTATAAGTGAATATATTTCATAAGCACGTGAGCGGCCTGACAGTGAGGGGCCACTGGGGCACTCGCGAGCTGTGACCTAACGAGAAGCTGGCTGTGCGAGCGCCTGAAAACAATATTGTTCCGCGGTCATTTGCATGTGAAACAGAGAATTTGGCTTCGTTCAGCTCGGCACTGAAATTGAATAATTTGCAGCGGCTGAAACTTCGGTAGAGGACGACAAATCTGCTAGTTCAAGCCCCTAAATAACACGCACCATGGCGAAATTGCGTTCGCCGGAAGTGGGCGAGATTTACGGTCGGTGACCTCTAGAGCGTGCTTTGCACTGGAATATTTTTTTTTTAGTCTTTTACTGCCTATAGCGTCGCGAATCCACGACATACCGGAAAACTTCGAGCAAGCAAGCCACGAAATGCGTGCCGCCTTTAATGCCAGCTGTCAAGTACTAACGGGGAACGTAACGATCAGAATGAAAAATATAGCCGTCTCGTCTAAAGTATTAGATGCCACGCAGCTCTTTGACTAGCCAGTGTAATGCTGTCCGTCCATGTCTCCGTGCCAATGCGCCGCACTGCGCTCCCCCCACCGCAGCTGTTGGAATGATGCTAAGTAGGTCTGCTAAGTAGGAGGAGGAGGAGGAAAAAGAATGAAGTGAAGCGCTGACTACCATAGAAACCATTGTGAGGGCGCAACTACACACAACACACAGGAAGAAAAAGACGAGGACAGGCGCAAGCTGTGTTCTGTTTCGTTGCGCCCTCAAGATCGGTTCTATGTAAGAGCACCAACTCGCCCAACAGTCAACTCCTTCGCCGACTACCAATTGTTTAACGACACTCCAAGAAACGTACGGGAGAGAAAAAAAAATACTTTCCGCACATGCATGAAAAAGAGGCAACGTATGGCATGAACTGGCATTGTCAGGATAACGCGTCATCGAGGAAGCGCATTTCAGAAGGATACAATGGCATTGACGTTTCACTGACATAATCAGGCCCTTTCTTTTTCGTATTGAAGGCTTCCAGGTTACTTTTGGCGAGAATCAACACTTGCGCCAGGCACGGTACACAAATAACCACATGCGTTGGAATGCGCGGGAAGATGCGCATAATCTCTCTCACCTCTGCTATTAGCATGCGACCTCAGTCTGAACGTCTCGTTTATCCGACGCCTGTCTGCTTTGTCTCAGCACAAGGGGTCGTTCGCTCTCTCTTTACTCCGTGCTTATTGAAGTGTACATTGTCGCGAATGAGAGTCTTTACTTGCAGGCTTCACATGGGCAGCCGATACGTGGTTTTTATGTGTGACTTCGACTCCGTGAAAGAAGCTTTCTCGCAGGACGCTCTCCTCAACAGGCCAGAAGAATTTCCCTTTAAGGTTCACGAGCAGTCCCAAGGTATGGAAACACACGTCCTTGATTAAAAGGAAGCTGAGGTGAAAACAAGCAGATACGGCTTCGCAAATCACATGAAAGGGGTTCGAACGAAATTTTGAAGGCGAGATAACTTGTGGGATAAATTTGTGTGGTCACACACTCATCGTCTACGAAATACCGAAGGATAATACAGCCTGGACCATGTTTTAAAAATATTACCAAGTGCACGTTGTGGCACCGCACGTGAAATGCGCCTTCATATAGTTTCCTTGTGAACAACCAACCGCCACCAGCGTCACAAGTTTATTTTGGCTGCCGCGATCCTTGCGTGCGCTCGCCTATATAGCAGACCTTTTCAACGGAAAGAGGCTTTTCAATGGAAAGAGGCTTTTCAATGGAAAGAGGCTCCAAACAAAATGTCACCTAACGTACCAACGTAAAGTTTTTCACACAATCCATACATTAATTATTTCTGAAAAAGATTTCGCATCAGGTTGCGAAAAACATATCGATACTGCTTTCCGCGATCACTAAAATATAGACTGCTGTTCTGAGGTATATAGTGGTTTCGTTTCAAGGCGACGTTTCTATCCGTAGTGGGGTGCCTCACACACACACAAAAAAAACTCAAGAGCAGCCTCGTCTGTATATTCTTACTGAGCAAAGCACTTTTATTTACCATATGCAATAAAATAATGTTTGGCAATGTCTCAAGCGTTTATTTCGTGTGAAGACGCAAGCCACGTGTGTGAGAATCCTGGCCTACAAAGACAAAGTAACGTACACTCGCAGTCAAATCCTGGCTAGAATACACGCCAGTAGGCAGGGAATCGAGTCAAACTATGGCCGCTTGTAGTCACAGTTACGCGACTCCGTATCCGTGTCCCAGAGTAACCGGCCCGATTCGAAGTGGCCTTCAGAATAGACGTGACAAGGCTTGGCCGGGATTTTACGTAGGTGGCCTGGCCCTGACACGGTGGCGTAGAAAAGCATGATATTTACGCATTCTAGAGCTGTGTCTCGCCAATAATGCAATGGATATTATGACTCTAGGTAATTACAAAACCATTAGTATCCCAATCATCTACATCTGCGAGATTAGCATGCAAACCACACTCAGTACTGGTATCGAACTCGGGACAGCATGCACGTGAAGCATATGTCTTACCATTGCACCACAGCGCCACCGCATGAACGCGAGTATTTTTACAAGTACATATCTACCAAGTGGCTTTTTTGCAAGCCGTCAGCGGAACATTGAACTTTTTTGTGCCATATGCATTGGTTTGCGCACGCATTTGATCAGCGAATAGCATGTAGGGCTTCATGAACTCGAGACAACCACGGTGAGCGCCTTCGGCTCCGACTTTGGTTCGTGGTGCGCCGTTCCGCAAGAAATATTAACGTGTGTTCGTGCGTCGTTTTAGTGCTTTCCCGCGAACCGCGGGTGTTTGGCTCACCGCAATTCGCGAATACCAGCGCGACGAGGCTATGTTCAGCTGTCAAAACCTATACGTAATTGACAACATCTGAAGACCTCAGCAGCATTCAAGTCAGTAAAGCTAGAACGTTTACTCCACTTGCCGTTATATGAACTATGAATTTACTTCAATGCCGTTATATAAATTATGAATGAAATATCAGCTTCTTAAAGGTGTAGAATACTAATGAGGTGCTCAGCGTATACATGGATGTAAACAAGCCAAATGCGATGCCACGTTTAGCGTCTCGCAGTCGTGATGCACGCACATGTTCGCTCTACGAGTGAGCACACGCTGAGCTCATAAGTTTCAACCTTAACAGGTCCGCTTGTCGAAACCCAGTGTCAGCACCTATTGTTCAGTGTTTTTGCTCAGCTTCACACATATCCTTAACGTAAATCCATATCACAAATATCTGCGCAAGTCGCGAGAGCAAACTCCTGTGTTAAATATATATACGCATGTAGCGCTGTCAGAACTGCCCGATTTTTTTAACTGTGGGTCGTTAAGGGAAACTGATCACGTAAACGAATCTTTTGGTGTGAGAAGGCACAAAAATTTGGCTCGGATTAATTGAAGAAAAGTAGTGTAAAACTGACCGACTACGTTTTAGATGTTCATTAGTGGCTTTCGTATAAGGCAGCATGTCATCACAATTGTGACTGAAGTAATATTCATAGAATTCGGTTACTTTTCGTCTTTGCAACATTATGGTGGCCAATAGTTTGATGCATTGATAGGTGCCTCATTAACTAGCGCCGTGCATGCGATTGACAATATCCTACTCTTAGCGCAGGTCTTATGTTAATTAATGGGCCCCTGTGGAGACTGCAGCGTCGATTTTCGATGAAAGTCTTCAAGAATCTGGGAGTTACCACACCCGCCATGGAAAGACACATACGTGTAAGTCACCATGGCCTATGCTTTTCTGCTTTCAAGCAGTGGCAATACAATATTTATGCAGGTGGATTTCAAAAGCACTCGGGGTGTATACATTTATCGCCAACAATACATGAATGTCGAAATTTCAGTACCACCCACTCTCTCACAGCCCACGCGTTTTTTTTTTACATGTGCACATCAATTAAGCCTCATACGATTGCCAGAGCTGATTTTAGCGTTGCCGATATCAGCTGCCCACTAACCACGCAAATCCAAGACCACAGATCTGATAATGCGCGTGGCACATGTAACAGCAGAGATTACATACGAAAGCTTGCGAAAGTATATATACTAGAACTCCTCGGTAATCAGTTCTGCGCTAAGACATAAACTATATAAATTTCGTGTCCTAAATGCAGCAATAATACCAACACAGGATGAGCAGGTTGGGAACTACAAAAAACTCCAAAGTTTCAACGCTATCTGCGATTTTAAAGCATACAGCAAAATAGTAATAATTATAAGAATGATAACTTATAAACAATTTACTTCGATTTTTTTTTTTTCAGGCAGAACTGTCGCACCTCATTCGAGAGCTTGAATCCCTGGAAAGCAAGCCCGTAGTACCAACGACATTGCTTACGCCCAGCACATCCAACATCATTTCGGCACTGGTGTTCGGCCGCCGGTTCGAGTACGACGATCCCGAGCGCATCTACCTCGACCAACTGATCGAGGTCATTCCGGCACTGGCTGCACAGGCGGCGGCCATCAACTTTTTTCCCTGGCTTCGAAAGCTGTTCGTCCTGTTCCGCGTGGGCGCATGCGAGAGGCTCAGGGACGCCCTGGCCCGACGAGAAGATTTCGCCGAGTGAGTGGCGAGCGTCTGTTTGGTGGGAGGACGGCGTCAATACGACTAAGGCCCCTCTTCGAAATGCGGCCGTATACATGCTGTCCGACGTTACTAAAGTCACCGCTTTAGCTCCCATCGTTTTTCTTCTTTGTATGAATGATTTGTGCATAGGCACAAATGACAGCAAAGTTGTAGGATCAAAAGATCGGATGATTGGCAGAATGGGTCAGGGAACAAACAAGGGGCGCGGCTAGTCACAGTTGACATCGAGCGAATGAAATGGACCTGGACTGACCACGTAATCCGTAGTAGAGACAAACCGGTGGTCAGTATGGATGGTTACCAATGGATGGTAAGCGCAGTCGTGGATGAATTGGTTGTAGTGACAAAATCAAGAATCTCTTAGGGTTAGAATGGAATCCTCTCGCAAGAACCCTTCGTTTTGCACTGAACTAAAACAGGCTGAGAATGATGATTAACTGAATTATGAGTCTGATGACGCAACAGTAAGAATGTTTGCAGGCGTTGTATTATTGTCTACAATGGTTCCAAACGCGAATTATGGGTTTTGACGCTTGAGGCCCCGTCAAATACGCAACTCGTGTCGAAAGTTATATTAAAAATGATTGTATGTAAAACATTTACAGCGAAAAGTTTCAGCGCCGGACCGAGGCTGGCACAGGCTTATCGGCACAAAAGACGTTCGGAATCGAGAGTAACCCTGACTTTTTTTTTTCTTTACATTTGTCAGGTTAACGCAGCCTATATCATTTTCATAACACTCAGGCGTTAAAATTGGCCATGTGTGTTATAGAAGTTCCCGGGTAGAAATAAAGTGTCAATCACCTGTGGCACATACCCACCCGCGGGTATGTACCATTGTCTGGTGAAGTGTGTGTGACGCCGCACGCGACGGGATTGTGGCATAATCGCCCGCATTATTCATGTCACGAACAGTGAGCCATATTCGCCAGACCATGTTACCCTCCCATACTATTCTTGATTTACCCCCAAGGTAAGGGGTTGATCACGAGAGCACGCAGAAGTAGATAGATAGATAGATAGATAGATAGATAGATAGATAGATAGATAGATAGATAGATAGATAGATAGATAGATAGATAGATAGATAGATAGATAGATAGATAGATAGATAGATAGATAGATAGATAGATAGATAGATAGATAGATAGATAGATAGATAGATAGATAGATAGATAGATAGATAGATAGATAGATAGATAGATAGATAGATAGATAGATAGATAGATAGATAGATAGATAGATAGATAGATAGATAGATAGATAGATAGATAGATAGATAGATAGATAGATAGATAGATAGATAGATAGATAGATAGATAGATAGATAGATAGATAGATGCCAAAAGTGCTTGCAGAACGCAAAAAAATGCTTCGCATTTAAACGGAAAGTGGTTGTTCACGTGAGCTGCGCGGAATTGCGTCAAATATATGAGCATGTGAGCTTCAACTGTCTTATCTACGCAGAGTGCTCGTGTTAGTGCATGAATAGCATCAGAAAATTGAAAACAACGAGCGGTATTATGAGCGCGCTGCAAAGTTAATTGCTGGCAATGACTGCCAAGCTAAAACCAGTACCCAAAAATCTGCTGGCACAAGGTGTTCAATGACGACAAACATGTAACTCAGCATTGCGTCCTTCGCATGCAAGCACGGCTCACTCGAACAATTTTCCTAAACACGGCTTAGTCGGGGGCAAATGACAAAGTTCAAACGACCTAAAGATTATCATTGAGCGCTTGATCAATCATAAGCCTACTGATGTGGAAACCGTATTACACGCAGCTCCAAGATTAACGAGCACGAGGACACGTACAAAGATGGATTGGTGCGAGACTACATCGACGGATTCCTGAGCGAGATGAAGGAGCACAAGAACGAATGCTTCACCCGTGAGTGCGCGCGCGTCTTCAATAATGGTTTTTGCGGATTGAGCCAGTGACCTCAATTTCAACTGGCATAATCTATCTTGGCGCGCCTTCGTCAGCACTGAGACGCTGCATATGAAAAAAAAAAAGTTCCTATCCAACCGAGCACTGCATAAAGCAACTGGGTGGGGAAATCCTCGCTCAGAAGTAAGCACCGCACGAAAGTTCGTTTGATGACGCACTGGTGACCGTCCGCCAACCAGAGTGAGCTGCATTACTGGCCCTAGAAGGGAGCCTTGATCACATATAGGCTCACTAAGCACTACTAGCCCAATCTAAGTTCGCTGACGTTGGCCGTTACGGGCACGAAAAAAACACACGCGCACGGGTCCCCGTGAGAGAGAACACAACTTTATTGTCGTCAGACTTAAGGAGGTAGGTGACCCGCCAGGCTGAACCTGATGGCCACCTCCTCTGCCCTTTGTACGGCCTGGAGCTGAACGGCCAGGCTGGTGGAGGTCAGAACTGCCTCCCACCCCTCTGGCGAGGGAGCGGCTAGGAGATCGAGAGAGGGGGGATCTTCCCTGCAGGCCCAGAGAATGTGATTAAGTGTGGCTATTGAGCCACAATGCGAGCAATGCGGATCAATCGAGTCGGGGTATATACGTGCATAAATGTATGGGCACGGAAATGAATGTGTTTGCAAGCGGCGCCAGATAACCTCCTGGCGCTTAGTTAGCTTATGGTGCGGGGGTGGTTTTGTCTGCCTCGAAAGACGGTAATATTGTGTGATGTCATGGTAGGATGTCAAGGCTTCACCAGGGTTTTCCAAATCAGAGGCGGGTACCACCGCTCGGCTGACGAATCCTCGAGCATATAGGTGGGCCGCCTCGTTCCCTGGGTTCCCCGCGTGAGCCGGCACCCATACCAGCGCAATGGAGGATAGTGCGTCTTCCTCAGCATCTGTAAGGAGACTGGGCAATAGTAAACGCAGAGTTGTGGGGGCCACAATGCCACGTGCGAAGTTGGATATAGCAGCCTTTGAGTCACTGAGTATAGTGGTGAATCCGGATGCTGCTGCTAGCGCTATCGCCGCTTCCTCAGCTTCTGTCGTATTAAGCACACGGACAGAAGCAGCCGCTTTAATTTGAGGTGAATTGGCGTTGTTGCCGGGGAGAGTGATTACGCTTATTGCCGTGAATCCCTGCTCCAATCCGGCCGCTCACGCGGGCAGGGAGACGCACACATCGCGTTTCAGTTTTTACTTACCCCAATGTACTATTGCGTTTTTTTTTTCCTCTAGGCATTGCGTTCTGGCGCATCAATCACAGTGGAAATGAAGCATCTTGGCAAGGGGCTTTAACTGGAAATCTCGACTGCACGGCATGCCTTATCTCGGGACCAACGCAATTTCGGAGTGGACGCAACAGCTACGCATGAAAATATACCTATAGAAGTACGAGTTCTGGTCCTATTTCTAATTTAACTTTTGCTATATCAGCTATGTTCACCTTTGTGATGTGAAAACGTGAAATGGCTCATCGAACGATAAGCTGCCGTCGGTCCCAGCGAATTCTCATTGGATGCGACGTCATCTCAGGCAGAACAAAGCGGAATAAGGAAGCGCTCATCGACACCGGCATATCAAGGCCCCTTGAGAGGTTTGCGGGGTTCACGCATCGGTGATCACTGTAAAGAACGTTAACGTAAAAAAAAGCAGGATAGATTTTAATGAAAACACGCGGGTGCTAGAGAGTTTTACGTCGCAGTTACTGCAATACCACGTTTTAGAACTATCGAAAAGTAACCCAAAGCCCTAGCAAATATAACAAGAGCGAGTATGGTGCATCAACACTTAATTGTAAAAAAAAAAAAAAAAACGGGCCTTTTATAATGAGAAGACCTGCAAAAGCTTCGTTGATGTTCAGCGATATCTATGGATGCCGCAAACTTCAATTGACAATGAAGCTGTAATCTCCGTTGTGTTTATGCTATGACGTTTTAAACCCAAGGCTTTCCCGATGGGGGCGAATTCAGTCCCTGAGAAATGTTCCCGAGATGCGACTGAATACGCATACGGAATACTGATCTCTGTTACACCTCGCTGACTGGCTTCCTTGTTCTACGCGCTATACTACAATGGTATTTATGCAGGAACCAGGCATATTCCAAACGAGAGAGAGGCGATCATCTAACGCCTCATCCCGCCCTCTGAATCTGCTACTGGTGTAGACTGGTAATGCGAAGTGCGTACTTGAAAGTGTCAAATAGTCAGGTACGTGCATAGACCTGTGCGCAAGAGTCAACGGCGGGTCAAAGCAACGGTGCATTGCCACGCAACCCCCCCCCCCCCCCCCCCCCAAATCCAAGTGTAAATACGCTTCCTCATGGATGAAACACAAAAAAATGATGGCAATAAAGCGATGACGTGCTTTTCACTTTGGCCTGCCTACTTTCCATAGCTTTCTGGCGGCAAATGTGGGATATAACATCAGGAGTCTTCGACCGCCTTAGTCGTGGCCCTGCTCTTTATACAATGACTGGACACATTCGAACGCCCCAAAGCTATGGCGCAAACTTAGCGCTTCCCCTGCGCATATCTATGAGTAGCGCTATTCACATGACACGACGTAATGTTGTTCAACTAGCTCCTGACTGGCCGCGAACTGCGCATCGTACGCAGGCAACCTCCTCAGGGGAAACGTGTCGACCTTCTTCGGGGCCGGCAGCGAGACGGTTCGATCCTCCATCGAGTGGCTGCTGCTCACGTGCGCCGCCAAGCCAGGTCTGCAGCGACGCGTCCACGCCGAGATCGACGCATTTCTTCAGCATAACCAGAGCTCACACATCCCGTGGAGTGAACGAAACCAGATGCCATATACGCAAGCGTTCATTTGGGAGACCATGCGATACAAGCCGGTCGTCCCACTGAACATAATGCGCTAGTGGGTATCTGCTTATTTTATTCCGCTTTATTTTTTTAATGAAATAACAATACTATGCCGACTGGAACAGAAAGCTGCATCCCTCCGTCAGACACGCAAAACGAATCACTGCAAAAAAATAAGCATGTTAAACAAGATAAGTTTTCTTGGTGGTTCTGCATTCAGAACTTACGGAGCCAAGCTGAAAAGTCGAATGTCTAACCGACTGGGCTACAAACCTACGCTTTAAGATTGCGAACATAGCCCTGCCGCGGTGCTCCAGTGGCTAAGGTACTCGGCTGCTGACCCGCAGGTCGCGGGATCGAATCCCGGCTGTGGCGCGGCTGCATTTCTGATGAAGGCGGAAATGTTGTAGGCCCGTGTGCTCAGATTTGGGCACACGTTAAAGAACCCCAGGTGGTCGAAATTTCCGGAGCCCTCCACTATGGCGTCTCTAATAATCATATGGCGGTTTTGGGACGTTAAACCCCACATAAAAAATAAAACAGATAGCGAATATATATGAACCATATAAACACGTTGTGCCGGCAGCTCGAGACAAATGTGAAATGCGAACACATATGTAAAGGTTTCGTTAAAATATGTTTATATACACAAAAATATAGAAAGGAAGGCTACGTTGGAGACGGCTATCCCAACATCACAATAGTAATGTAAAAGATACACAAAAATAAAAATAATAAAAGAAAAAAATAGCAGCACTATGTACATACACGCACGTACGCACACGCTTCAAGAAATGTGTCCAGAATCAGAAAAAGATGCTATTTGCTCACTGTCTTCGCAGTTGCGTTTTATATGCAGGAATCTAAAGAGGGTTGAAGATGTTATTTAAAACGGTAATTAGGAAAGTCAAAATAATTAAGTAGTGGAGTGGAGTTTAACCCTTGATTGATCGATTCGCAGGGCTTAACGTCCCAAAACCACCATATGATTATGACAGACCCCGTAGAGGAGGGCTCCGGAAATTTTGACCACCTATGGTTTTTTAACGTGCATCCAAATCTGAGCACACGGGCCTACAACATTTCCGCCTCCATCAGAAATGCAGCCGCCGCAGTAGGGATTCGATCTCGCTACCTGTGGGTCAGCAGCCGAGTACCTTAGCCACTACACCACCGTGGCGGGGCCGAGTTTAACCCTTTTAAAGCTACATTGATTACAATTGAAAAGAATGTTTGCTTTGGTTTTGATAAGATTATGCCCATAGTGTTAATTTAAGGTTAGGGTTTCTTTGGTGTTTCATTATGTTGAATCGTCAAATATAGGCTTTCTTGCAAACCTTAAGGTGAATCTCCCCCCAGAGATCAACGTTTAGTGAACGGAGGAGGAGGAACATTTATTACACATCCACGGAGGTGATGTTCAGCGTCCAAGAGTCCATTGTCCGTCAGGGCACTTTGGAGTTGGACGTGTTGGATAATTGAAACACGCCTGTCACTCATTCTTTCGCTATGCTGGGGACAGAGGAAAGGCACGAAAAGGAGCATGCAGCCGTCTATTAGTGGTTTTCGGCCACCTAGTCCTGTGAAACCGCCGAAGCATGACTCCGAACGAACGCAGCCGAGACGTCCGTCACATGAGCTCTATCAGCTCAAGGTTATTACGACGCAATAAATTACCTTCGAAGAGATGACATAGTTGTGCTCTCGTACTAAAACAAGTTTCACTTGCACTCCACAGTACAAAAATTTAAAATATTTCCATCGAATTCTAGTACAGCAGTATTTCAGCTTGGAAGTATAGAGAGGAACACTATAGAGGCCCCCTTTTGTGTCCAGGAGCAGCCTTCACTTTATTTCCAAAACAAAAATTAAGGCAATCTATGACACCACACCTTTGCACTGCCCACTCTGAGTATGTGCGCGTGTATGCATGTAATGCCATTCGCAACTATATACTAATAACTTTATATTTTACTTCATGCATAGCAAAGGCACGCGAGAAGCATTCATTCCTTGACCCTGTGTTTCATGACGCAGTGCCGATACAGACGTTAAAGTGGGAGGCTACATCATCCCACGTGGCAGCATTGTGATCGCCTCAATATGGTCCATCTTCCACGACAAATCCTTCTGGGGAGATCCGGAGGTCTTCCGGCCAGAGCGCTTTCTTATCGACGGCAAGACAAGAACGCTGAAGCCGGAGCAATTCATCCCCTTCTCTTATGGTAATATTTCTTCATCAGAAACACGTTGCCATCAATACACGTTTAGTGGCTTCTCGAGCTACCTGTGACGTTTTGCCCGTTCCGTGACTATTGCCAGCATCAGAGACAAGTCTGCAGTGTGCCCATTACGGTAATTAGAGACCTGACCACATGTACGCGTTGCCGCACGCCAGCGCGTCACCTGAAGGGCGCCACGCCCTTTCCATACGAAGAGAGTGGGCGCACTGATTTATGTAGCCGCACACCCTATATTTAATGCATATGTGTAGTCAGGCCTTGCTTTCATTGGACTCCTTCACACTGTCGTCGGTCTGCTCTTCACGTTATTTTGGCTGCTAATGGCAGTGCCACTTCCCGTGGCACAGCGAGCTGCCTTACTTTTTATTTTCGTGAGGGCAGGCCTCTTTGCTGTGGCTGGTGGTGCTGGGTTAGCTGAGCGACAGGAAAATGAGCCTCACTGCTGATTCATACGTGTGACATTATTACTTCCCGCATGACCCCCCAATTAAAAAGTGGTGCTCTTAACCCTACCTAAGTTCGAGCCCACGTGAACTTATAACACCAGTTTCATGTAATTTGGAGCAGGCACTTTCAAGCAACATCAATATTCATAATAACTGACACCTCCTGGATTGAAACGGGACAATTTAGAGCCAAGTAACCAACATACTTTCGTTTCCACCATGTTCAAATTGGGTCCTACTACCGAATTTAGGCTTAAACGCATAGATCAAAGTTAACATCTTTACAGACCAGAATCATCTCAATATGGCGTGATTATTTCGACAAATTGAGCATACCAGTCGTTATATTTTAATACCAGTCGTTGATGTCGGCGTCATGTCGGGCTCCGAATCTCGATCAGCTGCATTGCATGCACTTTAAAATTGAATTTTAAATCTGTTTTCTGGCTATATTTTCCCCCGACACTTCGTAGGTGTGTATGTCTCTGAATATACCTACCTCACTAATTAACTCGCCTTCGAAATCATGGCACTCCTCTTTTAACAGCTAGTAGCCCCTTCCTGATCTTTATACTCTTTTCAGCATGATGCTTAAATACTAAGCTTGTGCGAATAGTGAATTTTAGGTTCGAAGAGAATTCGAAGGGAATAGTGATTCTGATCGAATAATTTCGAGTCGAATTCAATTTTATTTATTTATTTATTTAAAGTTCCTTACAGGCCCTTTTACAGGGCATTGAGTAAGGGGGGGTAATTGGTAAAGTTTTACAGATCACACAAAATTAATTCACGCGTTACAAAGCGTATCAGCACAATGAAAATATGAAGCGGTTTGCAATATAAGTTGAAGTTAACAGGCGATAACAAGAAAAAAGAAAAGGCGATTTCATAGTGCACACACGACAGTGGGAACCAAATACAGTCATTATAGCATATGAAGGCGACATCAACCAAAGATAGCCAGCTGGCTTTACCTCAACGACGTGCCGTAATTTGTTTATAAGTTGCAGAACATACAATAAAAAAAGCACCAAAAAACGCAGAACCTATGCTCATACACAAAAACATTTCCAGTGTGCAACAAACATAATCGGGCTAAAAAAAAAAAGTGCAGAACACTGGCAAGTCTATTGTGAGAAGAGAGTAAGCAGCAACTGACGGAAAGAATTATTGTCTGATACAGATGCGATGTTATCTGGAAGACCATTCCACAAACGTATGGCGCGAGGAAGAGCAGATGAGTTGAATGAATCAGTTGCCCCGTATAATCGCTTGAAACTTCGGTCACTCTCTGTGCAGATGCTACTGGAACACTGTCATCGCCTTTCGTCGGCTAAAAAAGCAGTCAAAGCTGTCTTGTGCTTTAAGTGATTATGCAACCTACGTGAAGTAATGGAAGGAACATCGAGGTGGAGTGGGAGGGGTCTGTTGGTGTACACGTATTTGTGAAAGAGGCAAAGAAGGGAAATGTCGCGACGAGTGCTCAGGGGTTGAAGAGAAAGATTGTTTTTAATTTGCGTTATGCTGCTGCGATAGTCATGATTGCGTGAAATGAAACGGGCCGCCCTATTCTGAATAGCTTCAAGCATGTTAATTAAGTAGTTGTGATAAGGGGACCAGATAGGAGCGGCAAATTCAAGCTGTGGATGGACAAAGGTTTGATAGGCTAGTTTACGGACGTGAGCGGGACAGCTATGTAAATTACGGCGTAGATATCCTAAGGACTTGGAGGCTTTCGCGCTAATGGTGGTGATGTGGTGAGACCAGGAGAGATTGGGTGTGAAATGGACACCAAGATACTTATAGGATGATGCCTGTGATAGTGCAGAATTATATATGACATATGAAATGGTATATATGACATATGAAAAAAAGGAATATTTGTCATTACCTAACTAACCTACACAATATTTCTTTTGAAGTGAAATAGGGGCTCAATGCAAATGCCTTTTTTTTTTCATTCAAAGGAAGTCGAAACAACTTTGTGTAGTAGTTTTGGTAGGATGCGAGTTATAACCTGTAAGATACTCAACGTTTTAATATTTATTATACTTGAATCATATAAGTCGTCATAACAAGCTTAATAAAATGAAGAATCGATTTGAGGGCAACATGTTCCTTTAAAGGGGCCCTGCAACACTTTTTCAAGTAGCCATGGAGCCAGTAAACAAGCTTGCTGCCTCGCAAATTTACCGCTGCAAAGTTTCTAGAATTAGTCCAATACGAGCGGAGTTCCAAAAATTTGTCGCACGCTGCAATTGCATTTTCTCCTCATCCCGACGAAATAGCTGGAAGTTAAGCAGGGAGGAATGTCACGGCGAAAGAAAATACATCACACACACCTCGTGACCTTGAGCACCTTTTTTTTTTCTTGGAATTCGCGGCTTTTCAGTGTGATCGCGCACGTACTCATGGACAAGTGGCGGTCTCCTGCGGCGGCCCCGGTAACGACGAGCACGCCATGCTCAAATCAGCCAATGGCTGTGACAAGTGATTTTTGAGCTTGTAGTGCCATTTGCCAAGGGAAGAAAGCAACTTTTAGCTTTTAAAATTTATTGTGAATTACAGGCCGCGTGCTGCGCTATAATATTTGCTTGCGTATTCTCGGTAGCCTCGACTACGGATTGGCAGTGTTTTCTGACCATGTTTGATTAGTATTGCAGAGCCCCTTTAAATTTGATGAAAGGCTTCGCGGCAAAGCGAATTTTTCCTGGATAGGTGTTTTCACCGCTTAGCACTCCTACATTGCAGTGAAACTATCTTTACAGGCGGTAACATGCAGTATAATGTACATCTATTCGTTCATTGCGAATACTTCGAAAATATTCAATAATTAAAATTGGAATCGAAGCGAATTCAAATACTGAACTATTCGTTCGAATATTCGAACCATTCGAATATTCGCACAAGCCTATTAAATACTGTGGTGAAAAAGACTTATGGGGCAAAATTTTTACAACCACTGTCTTTTCTTCTTATTTTATAATAGCAGTGGTGCTAGGAATGTTTCAAGGCGAAAGCCTTTAATGGCTAATATTCGCGGTGTCCGACTGTCTTTTCGTGCCCTTGAACAGTGCCGGATGAGGCATCTACCCCTCACTCTCTCTCAGCATAGAAGTGTGGCAGCTTGGGCTAGTTGGTATGGTATGACGATAGTTATAGCGAGAGAACAAAACGACGACACAGAGACAAGAAGGACACGAAAGCGCTCGTGTCTTTCGTGTCCTTCTTGTCTCTATGTCGTCGTTTTGTTCTCGCGCTATAACTATCGTCATGCCTCTCTCAGCAGTCACGTGACGGCACAGCGGTGCATAACAGTTGCGTCGCCACAAATGTGGCCCTACCCCTTACGCTCAGCAATCACGCGATGGCACAGCCGTGCGTAATAACGCTCCTTCATTGATGTCTCGGTGCAGCAGTCCAGTTTTATTATTATTATTATTATTATTATTATTATTATTATTATTATTATTGATATGATATATGAGGAAATGTTAGCACACAAGTACCAGTGCTGTAGTTAGTCGGATGACTCTCAATAGGGCGGCTCAGTGGTTATAATTCCACGACAAGCAGTTGATGCAATAATGCATCAACAGACAAAGTGATCAAGTATCTCAGTAGTTGAGCACTTCACGAATTTGGAAAACTTTACCCTTCTCCTCCATCTTTACCCTTTCCAGAATGCATATGTGTGCAGTAAAATAAACGTACCTGTCGGTCTACTATGACCATGTACCAACACAATTCAGTTGATATGATTTCATATTATGTGTTTATATGTATTCGTTTCCCAAGTGAGTGACGAGATGCATCTCAAATGTTGTGTTTTCGCCATTCGTAGGCAAGCGCTCGTGCCCTGGTGAACTGATTGCCAACATGGAAGAGTTCATCTACTTCACAACCATTCTGAAGCATTTCACAATTGAGGCACCACCTGATAGCCCACCGCTCACTTTTGATGAAATTCCTGGCCTCTCTCTTCGACCAAAGCCACAGGAACTCGTCTTTCGGCCACGATTAGTAATCGTTTGAGTAGACAAAATGAACCCCGAGTGAAACCTCCCCAAAAGCAGTTTTGACCCAAGCTGCTGTGGTTACAGTTTCAAGGCTCTTAGTATCATCAAATAAGAAATGTACTCAGCATTGTTTCTAAAAGCATACAGCCCCAGTCTAACAATGCCTTAAAAATGACACTGAGAAGAAATACTTTCCATGTGTTGGCCAAAAATAGCACCTGTGCTGCGAGGAGGTGCCTTAAAGAAAAATGGTAATGACACCTTGAGGTTCCAGCACATACTTGCTCTCACAATTTCTGAAGGCATCTGCAAGAGGCTACCTAACTTTTCAATTTGTAATGGGGCCAGAGGCTAAATATTTATGTTATCTGGCTTCTGTCTCGTGTTGTCCACTTTTCTTTTTTTGCCTGTGTTTTTGCGCTTTAGTTATTTCCCCGATTAACTTGGTGAACACTATCTTGGAAAGAAATGTTCATTTCATTCATTCATTATTTTAGTGACCATTAAATACTATATGTATAATTGTGCATACTTTGGTCTCTTGCGAGCCTGTTTCTTCAGTGTACCATTATAATTGCCAGAAAAAGAAAGAAAAGGCAGTTAACGTCTATGGTGTCTTGAAGCGACCCATTTTGTAATACTAGCGCAGAAACTTTACAGCTAAAACAACATCCAACTTTAGCAACTGGCAAATGACTGCAATGAAAAAGAGTTGTCCCAAACAAAATTTTTCATGAAAGTTTATTTCAACAAGATAGTGCGAGGCTAGGGCAATATAGCCAGGCTTTATGTGAGCAGGCATAAATCGAGTACCAGCTGAGCTACAGCCACCTATATTATAAAAGGTCCAGCGATGTGACAGCTGATTCAGTTGTGGTAAACTGTGCCAAAAGATAAAACCTGCAACATCCTGCTACATTATGGCAAGAAAAAGACGTGTGAATTTAAGGGCTTATTTTTCTTCGCTGAACATAATATTAACCAGAACTAACAGTAAATAATGCCAAGAAAAGTATAGGGGATGTTATTCGAAGTAAATGTAATGTAAATGAGAAGAAAGAGAAGTATAGGAAAAAATTACTTCCTGCTAGCAGTGACCGAAGCAGCGACCTTCGTAAGCATCAAACGGGTTATTCAAAGGTCGCAGGTTCAGTACCTGCCGCAGCAAGTTACCTTTTCAACCACTTATCTTTCTTCACATTTACAGAACATTACTTCTAATAAAACATCCTATACTTTCCTTTGCATTATGGTATGTTAGTTCTCGTTAATATGGTGTTCATCATTACGGCAAAAATCTCGTAATTTGCACCGAGCATGTGCCAAGACATCGTTATTACAGTCTTTCAGGAAAAAAGAAAAGACTGAAGGTGCTTGCAAACAATATTCAATGTAACAACATAATTTTGAGCGGTCATTGAAGCACATTAGCTAGTGCTACACACTTGACATGCTTGGTAGGCAAAACCTTTCCAAACTTTCCCGACTTACACATACTATGTAAACATATTAGTTTTATGTACTACTTTACCCTACTGCGACATTACGTTATCAAGTTCAATAAAAAAGCTTTGAGCAGTTGTGGACCAGGCTAGAAACAACAAAGCCATTTGATTGATTCTATAAACTCCAGCAAGCAGCTCTTGAATGCAGGTTGAGATTGTTTTACAAAAAAATGTAGCTTGTAATATTGAATAAAAGCTTGTGCAGAGTGCTTAATTATAGTTTAGGTATGACCATGCACTCACTAGACTCATCAATAATACCATGCAGTGGACTGCATCATTTTTGCTGAGAAAGCATGATGCCCCAGTCTATCGGAATCTGTGTGCTGGTTCTCTATCACAGCAACAGCTCATGTTTCAAAACTTGACTAAGTTAAACACAAAGCCTCCCATCAGTGCAAATTTCATGGGGCATGGATTAGATTTCAGGCACGAAGGAACAATTAAAACCCTGTATTTTATTAACTGTGCATAAATCAGGCTTGGCGAGAATAATGGCAAGGGAGGTACACATTATTCACACACTAAAAAAAATGTTCCGATATTGACAGCATTCAATGGGTTACAAAAGCAAAGCCCTGATTTAGAGCACAAGCAGCTCACGTTTCATCATTGGCCCTCAACGCTTATTCCCAGTGTGTTTCTGAGTGGAGTGCAGGGCTATACATAGAAGTGTGGCAGCTTGGGCTAGTTGGAGATAGTTATAGCGCGAGAACAGAATGACGACACAGAGACAAGCAGGACACGAGCGCTCTGTGGAGTCTTTGTGTCGTCGTTCTGTTCTCGTGCTATAACTATCGTCATGCTGTACATAGAGTAGCTAATATACAGGTGCATATATCCAAAGGTAATCTAGGAGAAATCTCACACTAGCGAAAAAAAATAGTATATCGCGTATGTTGCATCGGGCATTTTCACAAAATAATATTGCGTTACAGTATAGTGTGTACAAAAGCCGAGGTTACTGCTTTCTGTTTCTCTCAAAATAAATTTACAAAAAAAGCGTCTCGCTTGTAATCGCAGAAGAAGAAATACTTGAGATGTGAAACTCCCAATGAAACAGGTGCCTGCAGGCAGTGCAAACAATGTCACATAAAATAAAAAGTAATATGCCCCAACAGAGACATTTCAGTTAGCGGCGCCTTGCCGCCCAAAGCCACAACCACGAAAAAAAAAAAAAAAATGAAAGCACTATTAACCAAGCGCAGCCGATCTGTGCAATAGACTGCACAAAACTCTTTGTAAGCTTGTCTGATGGCCAGAGCTTTCCATATAGGAAGCAGGATGGGAGCGAGTGCTTTGTTCTGTTGTGCTTTGTTCTTTAGAATGCCACTCACATTCACCGCAGCTTTTTATAAATGGATTTTTAATAAAACTACCTACATAAACCTAAAAAATAAATCTCAACTTTGGTATATACAAGGCACCGGTGCATAGTAAGTAAATGGATCAGCACACACCAAGGTCAGTCACGCTGCTGCCTTAGACAAGGAAGATTGTTCTGAGAAGTCTGTTGAGTTATGCTCTCCACTGGTGGTTATAACAGATGTCAGAGAAGGGGGCGGGAAAAAATAGTAGAAGAGCTGTTTGGCTTGCTCATATGCACCAAGGAAGATGAAGCCCCCGACTGAAAGGGAGACGACTCTGGGTGTGGCCCCACTAAAGAGCCTGTAAAGAAGAAAAAAAAAAGGGGGGGGGGGGGGTGGCCTTATTGATTTGAGATGGAAGGCCTATCCACGAAATTTTTATCAACAAAATTAAGCTTAATTAAGTAAAATGTTACTTTAAAAATGACCGCCTTCAAATCACTGTTAATATAGAGCATCCACCGCATTATTCAAAGGCCGCAGGTTTGGTCCTTGCCAGTGACAAGTTATCTTTTCATGCACTTTTCTGTTTTCCCATTTGCATTAAAATTGCTGCTAATAACATTCCATGTGCTTCCCTTCGTATCATTGTCCGTTAGATTTTATTCATAATTCCCTCAGTAGGTTAAAGTCTCTAAAAACGTGCTACCGTATTTATTCGCATAATAGGAGCACCTCCAGTTTAGTTGCAAGAAATCAATTCTTTTTTTCAGCGCATAATGAATGCTCCCCAAATTTGGTCACGATCAGTAGTTCTATATCCTGTTTATATGGTTGCAACTCGACGCTTTCTTACGTTACCTGAAGTGAGAGAAAAAAAAAAAAAAAACTGTGGCTGTGATGCAGCAGCTCCGCAGGCTTGCTGAGGGAGAATGGCAGTTGCTTGGGTGTCGACATGGGTGTCGGACAGAGTTGCCAGTTCCACTTATTATAAACGAATTTGGGCTTGTTTTTTCACCGAGATGCTTACAAATTTTTATGTTCTCTTGTCGCGCTTTTTTTAAAGCTTGCTTGTGCTTTTTTTTAAAATAATGTTGCATCATCCAGCACGCAATTTGTTTTCGAAAGCGTGGCAAAAGAATGCTTCCTTACACCAGTCGGTACTTGTAGCATATTGGAACTTCAGCGCAGATACATGAAAACCCACAAGAAAGGAACACACCGAACCAGCGCAGACTAACAAATGATCTTTATTCACTAAAAAACCACAAAATATACCTCATGAACACTGCCCATTAGCGAATCGGCATCGTACAATTATATACATAAGCTGATAAAACCTTTACCACAGACGGTGTAATATCACATTCGTTGTTCAACAATTAAATTGCTCTATCATTCAGCGACACCAGAGGGTGACTGACCCACATGTCCTTACGATGTGAGATTACACCGTATACGGTAAGGGTTTTATAAGTTAATGTGAATGATTGTATGATGCCGATTTGCTCATGGGCAGTGTTCATGAGGTGCAGAAAAAGAGCATATTTTGTGTTTCTTAGTGAATAAGGATGAGTTGTTAGTCTGTGCTGGTCCAGTGTGTTGCGTTCTTGTGGGTTTTCGTGTCGTTGTAGTGCATTGCTACGGCTTCGAAGTGGTCAAAGTACAGCAAGAAGTATTGTAAAGAGTGGGAAAAGGTACTGCAACTAAAAGAGTGGTCACACTTGCAAATATTGCAAGTGTGACACTTGCGCTCACCATCCCGACCTGCTTCAGCACATGGCTACAGAGAAACACATGAGGAACTTTTCGCTTTCTTTCTAGTGCACGTTTGACCCCCATGAGTCTGTATGTAAGGCTAGAAAAATTCTCGCCTCTATTCATGCCCCTATTCTCATTATGCAAAATAGATGTTTGTACACCTTCTAGATATTTTCACAGTATTTTTTTCTTTACCACAACACAACATTGAAGAATAGGAACGTTTGTTTAACCTTCGCTTAGTTTGGGCTTATTCAAAGAAGCACTGCCGCTTTCTTTTTACTTTTTTTGGGTGACTGTTTGCTTGTTTGCTCGGTGGCACCTGGCAATTTTGGTGTCGGAATAACCTTTGCACTGGCGTTGACATGGCTCCGGCCGCTAGATTGATTGATTTGTGGGGTTTAACGTCCCAAAACCACCAAATGATTATGAGAGACGCCGTAGTGGAGGGCTCCGGAAATTTTGACCACCTGAGGTTCTTTAACGTGCACCCAAATCTGAGCACACGGGCCTCGACATTCCCGCCTCCATCGGAAATGCAGCCGCCGCAGCCGGGATTTGAACCCGCGACCTACGGGTCAGCAGCCGAGTACCTTAGCCACTAGACCACGGCGGCGGGGAGCTAGCCCGACTGCACATGCTCCGCATAAAACATGCGATACCGTCCTCGTCAGATGCACATTGAGTTTCCGGTCGGCAAAAGTATCATCTTTATCGCGTCTGCTACTTTGTCCGCAAATTTAAAAGCTTTTTAGCTTTCCGACAAGAGCTTTCGCCTTTGCTGCCACTAAGCGGACTTGCACAAGCTCGGCGGACTTCTGTCACCGATTCCTCGCTCATTTCCCAGCCGCGAACCTATACATTGTATCACGCATGCTGCTTTTGGATCAGTGCTTGGGTGCGATTTTTTTGATGCCCAATCCTCAAATTATCTGGTACAAACTCCTGCGACAACATGCCAAATTGTAGGCTAGGCCTAATCACTGTAGCTGCTTTTCAGTAGCAGTGGCGGGCAATCAAAGTTGCCATTATGTACGGAATCGACGTAACCCTTTTTGGTCGCTCTACTTGAAGGGAGGTTGGGTGCCACTTGCAACACTTGATTGGCTGTTCCCAATTCAATTGCAATGTCTTAGATATGAGGTGTGAGCCCGTGAAACGAAAGATCGGTACCGTTCAGCGCATAAAATTTTAGTCATGCGCATTATCTGGGTGGTCTGAAACCTTATCGGTGAATGTCCGGGATATCGCCTTATTTTCGTAGCTTTTTTCTTTCATTCATTTCATTGGCAACGCAGGTATTTTGACGTCAATTTTCAGAAATTTTAATGCATACTGGGGCACATGCGCAGAGATGCGAGATTGCATGCTGAACACGTTTTACCCTAGTGTAGCCTATGAAGAAGGTTGTTCCGGCTGTAATGCGGATATTTGTGACTTCAGCGACGCACGTGATCAACAGTCTGTGCTGTAGTCGTAAATAAAATTTTCGGAAATTTTACCCGGCGTAATAGGCGCACCCCGAACTTGAAGTTAGATTTTCTGTGAAAAAAAGTGCACCCATTATGCGAGTAAATATGGTATCTGTCTCATCTGCCTAACACGCACAAGCCTGGGTTTAGGTTTTGAATCATGTTTTGCAAAGCACTCAATGCAAAAAAAAAAAAAAGAGTTCAGATTGGTTTAAGTGCCCTGAAATTTTTTTCGTGCGCATCAACACACACAATGATTTCTGGCACATTTCATGCTAATTTATGGGGTTTTAAGTGCCAAAATGACCACATGATTGTAGGGCATGCAAATAAAAAGGCCTCTAGCAATTTCGACCAGCTTCTTTTAACGTGCGCCTAAATGTAAACGCATATAGGATTCCCCCTCCATAAAAGTGCCATCACTATGGCCGTGATACAATCTGTATTGTTCGGGTCAGCAGTCTGACATAGGGACCACTACACCACCACAGCAGCTCAGAAAACACTCCTTTGAGAATAAATCCTTAGTGAGAGAAGCAGGAAATGTTGGTTACCCTGGTAGCCCTTTCTCGTGCCACACAGTCTTCAGCGCAGCATGCATGCTCCCAGAAGCTAGGTGGCTGTTTCGCTGTAGAGAGTTTGCAAGGAATCAGCAATGACGAAATATTAATGAAATATATAAAAGCAGCTCTAGCAATGTACTAGTAAACAAGTTTGTTAGCTATTTTTTTCGCCTCCCCCTGTAGCTCCGGAGTGTCCGTAGATGAACGCCAAGATTACTGTGAAAATGATTATAAAAGTTGTGGCATGGAAGCTTAAGTTAGAGTCTTCAAAGTTCCCAACGTGAGCAGATGATCGAATAAAACATTACTTCTTGCATTTCACCCTCACAATGATGTCCCAGGTTGCTTCTAATACCCGCATGCCGCTAACAGATATGCGCCGCAAGTCTCGCCTCGTGTGACTATTCGAAGACTTTGGGCAACACACTTCACGGTGTGTATCAATTGTTTGCGAAAGATACTGAAACACAGTGTTTCTTCAACTGATTAATTGTAAAGAGTGTCTATACCATTTAGTGCAAGTAGTGTGGCCTAACTGGGACGATACCAATGTTACCTGTGATGTCGTGTCTCAAACCAATCAGAATGCATAGCAATGATTTCACTGTTCAAATCAAGTAAAGACAACTATTTTTTTCTTTTTATGCGTGCCTGCTTGCATTGCCACATTCCTCAGCACCAGGAGAAGCAATGAAAATGACATGCAGGCGCCCTGCAACATTTTTCCAAGTAACCTTCAAATGGCTTCATTGAAGAGTTCATTGCCTCACGAATTGACCGCCTCAAAAAACTTTAGAATTGGTCAAGTACAAACTTGGCTAAAGATTTGCTGCACGCTGTAATTATTTTCTCTCTCCTCTCGTCTTGACAAGCGTGCTGGAATAGTGGCTAAACAGAGAGGAATGGCACGGGGGACAGGAGTTACGTAGAGCGAGTGTCACGACTTGAGCACTTTATCTAAAAATATGCAGCTTTTAATGTGATCGCAATCACATAGCGACCCCTCACAGCGGTCGCGGTATCTGCGCAGCATAAGGTGCTAATAATATTAATATCTGGGCCTTTATATCCCAAAACCCCAACATGATTATGAGAGTTGCCCTGGCGAAGGGCTCCGAAAATTTCACCCGCCAGGTGTTCTTTAACGAGCACTGAAATCGCACAATACACAGGCCCCTGCCATTTCACTACTATTTAAATGTGACTGCCATGGCCAAAATCGAACCCATGGTCAGCAGTTGAGCCTTTTAGCCACTGATCTATCGTGACGCACTATTATGCTGAAGCATGGCCTGAAAATTAGGTAAATGGCATGATCATTTGGGAACATGACATCATTTATAGAAAAAAAGAGGGAACAATTTCCAGCATATTTATTGACTGTATATTCCAGGCCATGTGCTGAGCTATAATATTTGGCTTGCAAGTTCTTGGGAGCTTCGACTGCTAATCATTAGCGTTTTTCTGATCGTGCTGAAAACGCGTTGCAGGGGTCATTCAATTTATGTCACAGGGCCCCTCTAAACTTTAAACCAAGGTCATTTTCAACGACACATGGTGTTGCTCATTTTCACCACTTGAAATATGGGTTTGGACATGAAGTTTTTAGACGATAATCTTCACAGCACAGCAGCAAAAGTATACTTCACTATGGGCCGAAATGATGCGATGGGCCAGTAGCATAAGGAGATGGACACATTTGTTTTATTCGCCTCTAAACCAAGAAAATACAGGCCTTATTGTTGTACTAAAATAGTTTTCAACACTCAGATAACTGCTGCCTGAAAAAATATTGTTAAAAGAGTGCCACATCATGAAGTGGTCATATAAAAACATAGCATATAAAAATAAAGGCAGCAGAAATTACAGCCCTGCAACATGCCCCCCAAACACTTCGCAACTGTATTATCTGTCACTTTTTTTAGCTGTTGTCCAGGCACTCAAGATATCAGATGCAAAATATTCAAACAGATCAAGTTTAAGCTGAATTGTTGGACCTTACAAATTGGACAATAGACAAATGCGCTAACTCACTGCTGCTACACCACATGGAGCATCATTCATTGTGCATTTCTGTTAGCAGCATACGTGCCATTAAAAAAACTTGGGGCAAGTAGACATTTCTTCATTCAAGTGCATATTCACACACGCATGAACACAAGAACATAGTCCAAATAAACAATGCAAATACACAATCACTTCCAATTTATTGCTTTCAAAACAGTATTGCAAGATCAACAAATATACAGGTGAGGGCCCAAAACTAAAAGAACGGTCCCTCAGTTAATTATACAAACATTTAGAGTAACAACTAACACGGCAAGCAAACCGAATGTTTGGCGAAATGAAAACATATTAGACAAAACGTTTACGTTCAGATCAATGAAACAAAGAATCGCAGCAGGAAGAAACCAGAAGTACAAGTAAAAAACAAAGCTCCACAAAACAATGAAGTAAACTGCTAAATGTTCATGATTCTTTTGTTCATTTTTTTCCTTTAACTGTATTTTATCATTTTTTTCACATGTTTCATAGATGCAGTGTTAATTCATAATTTGCAAATAGTGTACTCACCCGACGCATTTGCAGGAGAGCTCTTTTTTTTATTACTGTTTTTTCTATGACTGCCTGTTGCTATGCTTTGCAGTCGATTATGGGAGTAATAATTTTTGAAGACAGGGGTGGGGTTGCTTTTATTTTCTTTTATTCTACACTATGCGTCACTCTCTAATGAGCTGTATTACTTATGAATGTAGACAGCTTGGGCTTATATTTGTGCAAATGTTTGAATGCTTTGAATATTCATAGGAATATTAGTGTATTCAAATTCACATTTAAATTACTGAAAATTTCAAAGTGTTCAAAATGAACGAATAGATGAATTAATTATTCTGCATGTAACCACCTTTAAAGGTAGTTTCACTGCAGTAGAGGTGTCTAAGCTGTGAAAGCACTTGTTTAAAGGGACACTAAAGACAAATATTAAGCAAAGGTTGATTAGTAGACTTCTATTAAATGACACTCCCTTAAATGAAATTGCTGCCTAAATGAAAAAACTGCCACTAATAAGTCTGGTTTCATACTTGAACATTGTACCCCTGTTTATCTCTTACTTAACGAAACTACCCTTAAAAGAAATACATTTTCCTGGTCTCCTCAGGTTTCCTTTAAAAGGAGTCTACTGTAGCAGTCCAGAAACCATGTGATGCTAGTTTTGCGCCAAGGAAATGCTTATTTTGAAATAAAATCCCATTCTAATGGTTCGCATCGCGTTAGCGCACTTCAAATCAAGCACGGGTGAAAGCAGACTCTTACACGTCACTGTTTATGTGCTCAATGTTGACCGTCTTTACTACACGGCTGCTGACACCAGTAGCAGCAGAGTGAAAGTAGCAGGAGCCACTAGCATTAGCATTAACGACCATTGAACAATTTCCTGCAATCTTGGAGACCATAATATTAACTAAAGAGCAATCTGGCACTGCGGTCATGAACCCCATGGAAATTATAGGTAGTACAGGCTTTGGATTAGATTGCGTTTTAAACGAAATGTCCACGAATCTTTTTCTACAGTTTAAGTTTCGTTCTTCGCGCAGCGTGTGTAGCGGGGTGCGATGCCAACCACTGTAACATCACCTTTGTTTTTCAAAGAGGCTGAAGGTCGCTAGGTCTCTTCATTGGCTGCAACGTTCAAGCTTTACATGTTATATTTGACAGTTTAAGCGAAGCGCCCCCTCACCACTGCACATAGATGTAGCGCCCCATGCATGTGCAAGATATTGCATCAAGTTCATGTTTTTTCATAATTGCTTCTTGCCAAAACTCATTTAAATTGACAGAAAAACTACAGCGAAGCTAAGTAGACACACCGTCATGCACCTACAACTCGGCTTCACAACAAAACGAGAGGTGCATTAGGAACAGGCCACTTGGACAGACGCACGTAGCATCACAGCAGAAGAAAGGTTAAGCGTTTCTCACTTAGTACTATACTGTGACTTCCATAAATATATAATGTGTACTTTCAATTGCAAAACGAGAATGTCTCTTTTCAAGTGTCGTAAAAATTAATTCAAGATTTGGCATCTTGATGCCAAATCTGAAAGGCAATGTGAGAGCAATGCATACCCTGGTGATCAAATTTGTCTAGGTTTCACTTCTACCTATGGTTACGAAAACATTTTGCAAAAAGAATTATGTACAAAAGAATGAAGCAAGTTTCCATTAGATATACCTTCATATGACTGTCTTACACTCGCCAAACAAGCGTCGTGAATCTCAAAAATGTGATCCATCCGAAGCAGATCCGAAGCCTATACTTCTTTCTCATAATTTCCATAGGGTACAAGTGGCGCTGAAGAAGCCTGCATAGACACTAGCGCCAGATTCCCTTCTTGGTATTATTGTATGAAACTCTATGCTTCGCTTGGTTCAACTGAGCCCCACTAGATGGCACCACCTAACCAGCCAAAAACTGAACTTTTGAACTACTCATGCCAATCCCTAACACCACTTAGTTAATTTTTCTATAAATAAAACAGAAATAAATAGGCAGAATTTTATTACATCTCTTGATGCACGGAAGGTTTTGTTATCGCAGCTAGTTTGACTACGCTGGCTCGTGCTCACCCGTGCGCGCCGCTGTCACCGAAGCACAGATTTTGATACAAGCAATCAAAATCAGGGACAAAATTTTTCGATTGTCCGTGGGAAAATTCGTTTTATCAAGGTTGTCTCCATCTGTTACTTTCTTACATAGAGGTCACAAATACGCGTACTTCTATGGAGCAACGGCATAGAATAGAAAAACATTGTTTTATGGGGGATTCATTATATAGAGGTTCGTTTTAGGCAGGTTTAACTGTATGTGGCATCACTATAAGTGGACTGCACAGTATAAGGAGTTGCCAACTAGCCAAACAGCAGGCTTTAACAGTACTATATGTGCATTGTGACAGGTGGGCCAAGTAAAAAGAATATAATCAACCCACCTCAGCCAATATGATTCTCGTTTTCGCAACATCGAGAGGAGTGGTTAGTCCTCCTGCAATGCCACCTGTAAAAGCAGTTCTAAATTATTTTTTATTGTAGCCTTGAAATCCACATAACAAAAAACTTTACAAACACTTGTTTGATCCCATAGCCTACCTGGCTAGTAGCGGGACCAATAGTATGATGTGCCTACAAACAGCGCAAGCGGTCACAATGGCAACAGAGGGCAACATATTAAAAAAAAAAAAAACACATTATTCAATCATGCAGGAAATAAAAGCAGACGAGAAAACCACTTATAGAATTACAAGACTTAAAAACTGTACGCGAAGTGCTTCATGGCCATAGAAAAATTATTCACATCTTTCTCAACTTTTCTATCACGTAGCCATGATATCACATAGTATCATAAAAACTGATCAATGATTATATTTAATGAACCAAAGAAACATGACGCTAGCTCTGCTGCAAACAAAATATGGTGCTTATTTATTTACTTAAGAAAGAAAATAATGGGGCTAAGGGAAATGTTATGAGAAAGTTTCCCAATAAGCTTTGCCATATAACTCATATAGGCTTCCACCCAAAACTTTGCTTTTTGCACATCCATATTTATAAGCCAATCAATTAGTTTTCTTGAGCAGACTGAAAAAAAAAAAAGACACACCCTGCAATGAGTTATACAAGTGGGAAAACAGTAGGACCAAGAAAGTGCCTCAGTTAAATATTTTCCCATGCATGTTGGCACAGTAAATTCTGCAAGCTATGCATACTTTCCCAGAAACTGTTGAAACACACCTGATATAGCTCCACAAACAGCTGCTTGCCATGTCAGTAAGGAATCCGGGTTCGCAAACATGTTCTAACAAAAATAAGGGAAGAGATGCACAAGTCACACAACATTTGTGAAAACAAAGGAGCAATGCAACAAAACAGTGTTTAAGTTCATTGAAAGGTGCAAATGTACTCAAGGGGGCTCATATCAAAAGGGAAGCTATATTAAGCATACTTCCCTGAATAGCACCCATACTCTTTTCTTTGCAGCTAACCTAAAGAACTGAACCAAGTTAAATTGATACGTTGAACAGCTTTGCGATTGTCCCTGAAAGTCTTAAATATTTCAGAAACCCTTCCCCAATAGGAGAAATGGTGGCAAGCAAAGCTTGGCATGGGTATGCCTGACGTACTGCTTTTCTTCATTTCACATTGTTTAATGCTCCCTCCTAATGAAAGTGTTCACTTTTTTTATAGACAGTGGCCGTCTCGAGACAGCCGTTTTCAAGCCGAGTCAACAGGGCGTCATTCATGTTCTTTTCAGCTAGTAGAGCAGCCCAACAAATTGTCCATCATGCCACCACAGGAATACGGGTTGGAAATATGATTTTCTCGAAGTCGGAATTTTCCTGAAACCTGCTTGAATAAGAAAGCTCCACAGGGGATGGGGCTGCAATATTATGCAGTAGCACAAGTGATCATCATGAACAGGTATGTGTCACAAAAATTGGGCGAATCCCATTAATCACTGCTGGCCCATTAAAAATGAAGGAGGCAACAAGCCAGTGGCCAACACTAATTCAAACTTCTAGACCAAGGCTTGGCAAAGATACTTTGAAATTGTATCGCAATACGATACAGGATACTCGGACAAAATGTATCGGATATACAGATACAAGATACTCCCGCAAAAATTGTATCCGATACGATACTTGCCAATTGTATTTTAAGATACTTCGATACATTCACAAATTTAGTTGCGAACTATCTAGTTGCGAACGCATGTGCACAAAAAAAAAAAAACGGCTTGAAAATTTCTGAAATGTGCCCGCTTTCATTTTAAATTAATGTTTGTAGGCCACTGGAAAAGTTTTGTTCCTAGTTAAACTAGTTGACTTCCAAAAAACAGGCTTGATTTAGCTGCTTAACAGAATAGCCTTGCAGACAGTTTGCTGACAGCAGTTCTTGCTAGTCTTTTCTGTAATTGATTGAAGTTGCTACTGAGTTTGCCGACCAGCTAGCAAATTGCCATCTAATCACACGAGCTTCAACAGGAAGCCTTCGCATGACGCCGCAAATACCGTTGTGAAGTTTCAGCTTGAACATAAAAGACCGTTTTGCAATGCCGAATCACCGGTATACAGCAGCAACAATGCAGTCGCGACATTTTCGTGGAACATGATGTATATAGACAGGCCTACACAGAGCGAATAAAGCTGCCATTACTTTTCTTACTCTTCTTATCTGCCGGCGTAAACCATTCATTATCCATATACTTCCTAACGTACACTCTATTCTTGAGCGACAGGACATGTGCACCTCAGAAACGCCCGAGACCTGTTGTATTGGCATGTGGTCGTGACTGTGAAGAAAGCGGAAGTCATTCTGGTAGAAATTAAAGGCTCTAATTACCGAACTTGTGCTCTGAAAGCTTAGTAACTCAAAGTACAAGCAAAGCACGCTGTACTCTGATAGCGGCAAAAAGTGTCGTTGGCTTTCGGTAATTCGATGATCAGCAGAAAGCATCTCGTATTCATACAGCAGTAATTGCACCTTTCAGCGTTATCGCTGGTGAATGCATAAGCTCGTCAATTGGCAGTACGTGCACTGTGCATATTCTTAATAATTTTTCAGTTTTTACATTCCGAAGCTACGATATGATTATGAGGACAGCAGAAATGCTGGGCTCCGCAATTTTCTACAATGTGGTGTTCATTAACGTGGAATCAAAGCTAAGTACTTGCACCTCTAGCATTTCACTTCCATCGACGAGCGGCCGCCACAGCAGGTTTTGGGCGTAATCTTAGCAGCACAATCTGAGACAATCTCGAAGTTTGCAAAGCATTTCGGGCGGCTTGTGCGAGCGGTCAGGTTTTTTTGTGACTTGGAACCAATCGAACCAAAATGAAAAAAAAAAATTCATTGCAACATATTTGCACAAAACCATTATAACTAAAATAGAAAAGTCATCGTGCAAAATAACAAAAACTCCGACCAAAGTGAAATACACAAAAATTAAAAAGACGCTTCGGCTCCCCACACGGGAGCCTTGTTCACAGTGACAGCAAATGGCGTAGTGCGCTCTTCTTGAGCACGTTTCATCACGTGTTGCAGACATCGCGCGTACACAGGGGGGAGTGTCCCAATATTTCAGTGCAACGTATGCGCAGTAGTTTGAATGGCCAGAGATTCCATGTGCAATCGTGGTAACAACTTTCTTTTTGTGGCAATGATGCAGGCTTTATTCCAGTGGATAGCGTGTCCAGTAGACGCAACATGTTCTGCGAGGGCATTAGAAGCTACTTTCTTGTTCTTGACTAAAAATCTTGACTAGAAACTTGACAAGGACTCTTGACTGGAAAAGTCATCATTTGAAGCATTTGGGGTGAGTAAGTTGAGATGCATGATACAGGTGGCACTCCTAATAGCTATGATAATTAAAACATCAAGTAGCATGACTTACTTGTAAAGAGAAAAAAAAAAATCAGTGCTTATGAAAAATTGCCCGAATAGGCTCGTTGGGACGTTCATAAGGAAATGGACCATTTGACCATCACAATGTTTCTAGAATCCCCTTTCTAATATCTTTGAGATAGCTCCTAATTATTCCAATTACTATGATGTGAACTCAAATTGTTCATTTACCAAGCAGTAAGCAGAATGTTTGGTGTTGTATACTAAACGCAGCTCGACATAACGACATATTTGTTTTCCAAATAGCCTTGACAGAAGAGTGAACTCAAGTGAATATCAATTTGTAAGTAGCAGCAAAAATAAAGCACACAGTCAAGGATAAGGATAAAAGAGAGAGGTTATTTTGACTGTACTTTGCAAAATACATATTTCATTCATGGGACCCTTCGCAGGAAGAAAGCGGCATGGTACACCAAGATATTGTCTGATAGATAAGTGCTTGTTGTAGTATTAGATACATCAGTACCAGTGGTGTTATAGCTGCACGCTGGAGAGCAGCATGAGATTTTGTGCGGTCATCGCCGCACACATTACGGTCGCGGTTCTCGCAAATGGCTGAAGGTAAGTGCAATGGCTCCGATACTTTTAAAAACGGCATTTCTGTTTTAACACTCATGCGTCTGCCACATTTTGCAAGGTAGCCACACGTTGTTCCTTTAGTTTTGGTGGTACGTGCCGAGCGCTTGTTTATTGTATTTGGTATCTGTCCATCTTGTAAATTAGTTCTGTGTGTGCATGTACAAGCAAATTAGTCTGTTTTTCATAATGTTCACATCATCATTTTAGCTACTCGCGAGCATTACGAGAGCGCATTCGTTTGAATAGCCTCATGAGAAGCATCACCCGAGGCATACGTTGCCAGTGGTGGCTTCAAAACCAGGCTGAAAGCTCACAAGATTGTCATCGCTGCCCTACCTCAGATGAGCATAATGTCAGAACGCTCACTCGATGCTGCTGATAACGGTTATGTTTTCATGTTGGGATCCCACAACATAATGCTTGTGGCCTGGGACAATTTTTGAAGATCTTTCTATTGGAAGACATAAATTTGAAGTTACTAATTACTTATAAAGACTGAACATAGAAAGTTACTGTACTGAAAGGCATATGTATTAAGCCTGACTTAAGTGTTCTTAGAAAAAAAAAAGTAGCGAGAATCACAAAAGAAATACCTTATTACGCAGCAAATAGTCAAAAACTGAAGAAGATTAATTTACAAACATTTCTGTGCCCCAGTTGCCTAGGAACGTAGTGAAGGCAGCTAGATATACAATAGCCACTAGGCTACTGACACTAGTGTCAAAGCAGCACAAGAAAAACAATGTACTATATGAAATGCTGTCTTGCAGTTTTACTCCTTTAACACAAGTGTTGCAAAAACCACCTAGACGATACTGAAAGAACGTACCTTAAGAAACTCCCAGAGGGGGAACTGTATAAATGAAAAGGGAATCTCCCTTGCTACCGTCGTAAAGTAGCCACGGTAAAAACCACGGATGCCCTGCACAAAACGTTAAATATTTTTGTCATGAAACGTAATGACAGAGAGCAACCAAAAAAACACAAACACACACAAAAAAGTTTTGGTCATACTCAAGTTTTCGCATAACCTATGCTACAAGCCCTAAAAGGAGAAATGGAAAAAAAAAAGAAACTCAGCCAACCCAAGAATAGTGCGATGTTACAAATGAAATCATTAGGGTCTTTCTCAGGCTTCTATTAAAATGCTACAGTGAGAACCTGCACATATTTTCTTCGTAGGTTATAAAATAGAAGGCATCACATTGATTAGCCAAACTTAACTTCCAGAACTTTGTGCAATCGGAGTAAATACTGTATAGCACTCAGTTTCTTTTTGTTCTGGACGGTTTGCCACCTACAAGGCACACAAAGATTACATGAGGTGTGTGTCATCAATGTGTATCATATCATTACTTAAAAGTATTCCTCAATAATGACATGTAGGAACAGGTATGCACTTTTTCAAACGATCGTAGAAATGTGGAAGATGGCAGCACTGTGCAACAAACATGCAATCTCAATATATTGTTGTGCTGAAGCAGCAACGGGGGAACGAAGAAAGAAGACAACGAAGTGATCTGTCTTGGAAGCAGCTTGGTGACGGCGCGGCTACCCTTTGATATTCATCCGTCAATAAACACACCCCATCGTAACAATATAGATCTACATACCTACAAGTTAGCTATTCAATATTTACATCTTAAAGCCGTGTTAAGCTGTGCACAAAAACTGAGCACACAGCACCTATAAATGTAGTTAAACATGCAATACAATAAACATGATAGCTAAGAATTGAAAAGGAAATCAATGCATACGTGCACCTTTATTTTGAAATCTAGCACACTAAATGATCAAATTACCTGGTCATAAAAAAATCTGTCCACATATCTTAGATTATCCCTGTGTCACTTTTAGGTTGGCTTCATAGTGAATTCAGTGCCCCAAACTGCAGCTTTGGGAACATGCATAGCATCATCAAAAAGGCAGATTACAGCTAGCAACTGTTTATAATGTAGAGGCAATAACTAAACTATAAACATACATATCCATCTGTGCCTCTGCCATGTAAGATAAATTGCTGTAAAGAAATAAGTTTGTAAAAGGGAATTAATTTTGTTGGTGGTGCTGGCTTTTGAACCTATGGTCCTTCACTTGGAAGCGGAGTGTCTTACACAATGGGTAAATGCCCAGCTTGCCAGGATGTGAACATATCTTACCCATAGGAACGCATAGTACCAGCACTACAAGACAAACATCACGCTTTAATGAAGGCTTTGCTGAAATATTTTGTAACGGTTGAATGAGAACGTGTAAAGCCAACACGCAGCACTGTACACACATGGAAAACTGTGAATGCTTATTAGCTAATACATTTCAGTGGTTGTGGTATGTGCCTTTCGTTTGGCCCTAACAGATGCTGAAAAACATTTGCCCTTACGCTCCTGTGAGAAAAAAAAAATTGTCCAAAGTTTACTATAAATATTTCTGCACTCAGTTAGTATATAACTTTTTGTCTCCCTTAAAGGGACACTAAAGTCAAATAAGTCAATGTGGATTGCTGAAATAGCAATCCAGAAACCTCGAAGTGCTACGTTCGTGACAAGGAAGTGCTTATTTTGAAATAAAATCACATTATAGTGGTCCACATCGCGTTAGCACACTTCAAATTACCCGCCTCAAATGGAACCTTTCACGTCCCTGTTGCCATACACAGCGTTGCCCGGTTTCGCTGCACGACCGCTGACACTAGTGGCAGCAGAACGAAAGTAGCGGGAGCCACAGCACCAACAACGGCACTTGAAAGATTTCCTGCCATGGCCTCAGAGATGACAAGGGTGCTTGGTTCAACTGGGCCCCTCTAGAGGGCTTGAACTGCCCAGTTTAACTATAGTTGCTCTATATGCTACCTTTAGGTAGCAGAGTTGCGCCACTGATAGAACTTGCCGCTCGCCCCCCCATTCACCAATCGGGCTGACTTGCGCAAAAAACATCCATTTTAGAGAAAGCCAACTTTACGGCAGCGCAGGTGCTTGCAACCGCCGCGCCACTGGTGCCACCGCCATCGCTGCCCAAGCAGTCCGGAGAGGCGGTCCCACTGAGTGTGGAAGTACTTTTTCATTGGTGTTGTGATTGTGTCCTGTTTTGTCCGTTCTTAGGGAACGTCGGTGTTAGTGGTGTCTGTGCGACGCAGCAACTTGACTCAGTGCTGCGTGGTTGCCACGATGACAGGATCCCACAGCTACGTATAGATATGCAGAAAATTCTTGTTAGCTTGCGTTATTTGTAAAACACAGAGGAATAAGTCTAGCGATTGTTTTATCAAGCCACCTGCTTAATCGTTTAAAGTGGCGAAACACTACACGAAATGGGCAATTCGCGGAACTTAAGTTGTTGGGAATCGTTTACGACAGGGCTTTCTTGTTTGCTATATAAAACGAAAATATCTTCCTACGATGACCATCATTTATTAGTTTTCCTTTTTTTTTTTTTCGAAGCGAAAGTAATTGCGCCAGCGATGTGTTAAGAGCGAGCGAGAAAATGCACAAGGCGGCTGGGCTGTAGCTGGACTGAGTTGGCTCAGACATTCGGAAGGGGTGGCTTGTGGCATGACTTGGACATCTCAGCGGGCAAGATGGCCAACCTCTGCGCCACTCTGCTACCTAAAGGTAGCCTATACAGTAACTCTATGTTTAACCAGGCAAAAATTGAACTTTTGAAACACTCGTGCCATTCCCCATAGTAGCATCCAGCAGTTTTATTTTTTTTCATGAATCAAACAGCTACGAACAAGCAGCCTTTTATTACGTCTGTTGATGCTCGGAAGGTTCTTTATTTAGTGCAGCTAGTTCGATGACTAGTGATTAATTTTAGGCGGTAACTGTGATGTTATTGGGATTATTTTGCTAATGTCCTACTCATGGCCCATGTGTTCGCATGCATCATTATTGATTTCTTGGTGAGTAGGGCACTGCTGCTGATAATATTGTTGTTTTAGACATTGTCATACATTAAGCTTTCACTCTGATTTAAACTGTTATTTGACTTTAGTCTCCCTTTAATATAACCATACCATTCTCAATTCAATTGGGTTCCTTCACTTCACAGATTATGTAAAAAAGAAAGATAAGTTGAAAATGGCTACAGTTGATTGATATGAGGGTTTTAACGTCCCAAAACCACATATGATTATGAAAGACGCCGTAGTGGAGGGCTCCGGATATTTCGACCACTTGGGCTTCTTTAACGTGCCCCCAAATCTGAGTCCACGGGCCTAAAACCTTTCCGCCTCCATCGGAAATGGAAGATAGCTACAGTGTATCACAACCCAATTGTAGATGGCAATCAAATGGAAGCGAAGGCACAAATAGCATAACATGGACAAGTGTGGCTAACTGGCATCAAGAAACACAACTACGACTAGTATAGTTGTCATTGGTTTCATGCGAGACCGATTTTTGTTGAGTGCAGTCGTCATCGACCATTCCAGCGCAAAATCTAGACTTTACTCATAAACGGGAGTGAAAGGGTTAAAAAGGAGAAAACAGATACCTCCCCAGATTGCAGAAAATGCTGAAATTCACAACAAGTGCCTGAAGTACAAGCATGTGATGATGAACACCATAGGAAACAGTGTACTACTCCCCTCAAGACAGCCTCATACTACAATGAAACAGCACATATCTAGTAGCAAATGCTCATGGTTGGCTTAGACAAAATTGCCAAAGGGGATTATGTACGGAGTTTCTTTATCTTTAAAGCACACATTAAAATTGCCACCACAAATAAGAACTACATACCTCAACATTCAACACACTCCTAAATGTTTTCCAGCTACTTGTGTCATGATTAGCTTGAGTACGTTGCTTTACGACTTCTACGGGAACTCTTACAGAGCAGGCAGCCTGCAAATAAAGCAAGTTAGCAGTGAATGAAATGCCTATCTAAGCAGAAATTTCAATTTCTCAAGATAATCCTACTTTCTTTATGCACGACACTTGAAAGGCTGAACTGCATACCATATTTACTCGAAAGTAACGAAATAATGAGAGTTTTCTTCCATATTTTTTCTATTCGACGTTAACCCTTGTGTCACAATCGAATACTGAAATTCAAGATGGCTGAAAAGTCACCCCGCGTGTCAAAATCGAGCAAATACAATATTTTTCACAAGAAATTTTGAAAATAAAGGTTTCATTAACGAAAACAAAAAATAACTATGACCTATGATGGCCACAGCAAAACAGAAACATCTAATGCTGAGTACACTATCAAGTTGAAGTGAAGTAAGTAGCAGCAAATTCATATCACTGCAGCAGGCCACCACTGGCTTCGCTTGCAGACAATACAATACGAATTGAAATGTGAATATGCATTCGACATATTAAATTGCAATTGCATCTGCTCCTTCTGCCCAAAAGCCATTTTGATGAATCAAATTGTGATGCAGATACAGAAAATACTCATGCATTTTGTTTTCTGGAGAGCATCTATGAAAAAATTCAGATTCAGTTTATTGCTTTGAAAAAATTGGTAGAAGATCGACGACAAATATGCAAGCGAGGGTGCCGAAGTAATAGAACTGAAGTGGAACCCTCGGTTAATTATACAAGAGGAGAGTAATAACTAACACAGCAGGTGAACGCAATTATTGGCAAAATCAGAACATATTCGATAAAATATTTACATTCAGATCAGTAAAATAAGAAAAAGCACAACGAGAAGAAACCGAACGTACAAGTAAAAAAATAAAACGTTGATTTGACAGCAGCCATGACATGAGTACACTTACTTCAGGTAGTGATGTCTAAGGACATTCTTAAAGACTGCAAGGAAAACACGAGATTTGATAGCTGTAGGCGAATATTCCTGCTTTATTTGCCCAGGGCTTGCAATTTAGAAGCAAATGATACAGATCGCTAATTAGACTTCCGAAAATGCTCAGGATGGTGCCCGCAGATGTACTGACTGAGCAATGGGACAAAACTATGAGGATAGCGCCATGTTGTAGTTCATACATCAATGAAGCATCACTGGCCGAAGGCGCCACCGTATATCCTGGCATCCAAACCTTATGAATGGCTATATTAGTATGATTTCTAGTAGCACCATTAGTTCTCATCACATTAGCACCCCGTAAAGGGTTAGAAGTACACCACTATTATTCTGAGCCTTATCAAGAAAAAGAAAAAACACAGAGCCTTATGTGAGAAAAAAATTCTTACAAGTGACTGCAAAAATAGTAATTTGGCAAAAAAATTATTATAATGACTGGGGTCTCGGTATATCGTCATTTCGACTGCATATCATATCGATGGCTGCCTATAAACTCATGAAACACTTTGGACAAACCCACACGTGACTGGTAAAGTTTTCCATGGACAAGCTCAACTTTGACCAAGGCTCACTTGACCCATAGCAATTACCATTTCTAAAGTATTTTGGATGAACAAAGCACATAAGCATAGTTATTGAACGGCACAGCATTTCACGTCATTTTGATCAATGAACCTTTCCTCATTATCAAGGCATTGATTGATATGTGGGGTTTAACGTCCCAAAACCACTATATGATTATGAGAGACGCCGTAGTGGAGGGCTCCGGAAATTTAGACCACCTGGGGTTCTTTAACGTGCACCCAAATCTGAGCACACGGGCCTACAACATTTCCGCCTCCATCGGAAATGCAGCCGCCGCAGCCGGGATACGAACCCGCGCCCTGCGGGTCAGCAGCCGAGTGCCTTAGCCACTAGACCACCGCGGCGGGGCTCATTATCAAGGCAATGAATTAAAAAGTGAACATAACATTTGGCAGAAGTCTGCCTCGAATCCTGTCACATTCAGCAGACAGCGGCAAACATCAACCACTCCGTAGGGTCGTTGCCCTGCCTCTACTGCCATAGCTCGTGATGAGTCATGACGAGCTTCTCACGCATGACAAGCAACTATATATAGGTGCCACGCATCTCGAGCCCTCTCAGTCTTGAAGCCGGTCCAGCTTTGAAACGCCGGGATTTTCCAAAATAAATTCTTCATCAGAGTTCTCTCATTACTCCAGGCAATAAAATTTACCACTAAATCAGTCAAAACTGACAAGAAAAAACTAAAATTTTCATTGGTTTAGCACTAAGGTTAAACTCAAAAAAAGGTCTGAATTTACATTTTTTTAAATGTGAGTACAGAATGGGTGAGACAGCGTAATGTCGTCAACATTTAAACTAAAAAGTTTGCTTGAGCTATATGCGATCATGATCTGAGATGTCGCTGGTGTAACAACTTGAAGGGTGCCAAAAATAACAGGGTAAGCCCTATACCCGCCTTGTATATTAGATGAATTTTGATTGATATGTCCGGTTTAACATCCCGAAACCACCATATGATTACGAGAGACGCCGTAGTGGAGGGCTCCGGAAATTTCCACCACCTGGGATTCTTCAACGTGCACCCATATCTGAGCACACGGGCCTACAACATTTCCGCCTCCATCGGAAATGCAGCCGCTACAGCCGGGATTCGATCCCACGACCTGCGGGTCAGTAGCCACCTTAGCCACTAGACCACTGCGGCGGGGCTTTAGGCGAATTTTTTTCTCCATAACTACAAGAGTTACAGTAATTATTTTACTATTATTGTGGTCATGAGCCCATTTTTCCTCCTACTAAATCATATTTAGCAGTGAATATCATCATTCTATTTTTTTTTAATTTGTACTAGCACTACTTAATTATCACTCAGTAATAGCTATTAGATGTGTTGAAGAACAGCACTTCCTCACACAACAATAATACTACTTCAGCATATTGCCTATTATGTTATCTACATACTGGCCGAAATCTACCTTTCTAGAGACAGTGGTTGCTGTGATAAAAAAAAACAAAAGTACAAGAAAAGCATGTTTTGAGATACAGTAGACTCTCAGTAAACAGAACCTGAAGGGACCGAGAAAACATGTTCCATTTAACAGGAGTTACGTTTACTGAGAGGTAATTATGGGTGCAGAATACAAGCCCAAAACCAAGCATTGTAGAGGCAGTAGTTCAGTTTCAGCAGTAGTACCGTTTAACAGATTTCCATTCACTGAGAGTCTACTGTAATCGCATCTAAAGTTGAAAATCTGCTTTGTTTCAAAAATACGACAAGATAACAGCAAATTGACGGACCCAGTTTAATAGGCACCAGCCAGATACTTATCACCAATATCATTCTTTCTTTTTGCATTGAAAATCTTGCCTGGTGAGCCTCGTTTGTCGCCTGCTGTGACGCCCTGTCAGCAAAGTACTGTCGATGTAGGTCAAGGGTGAGTAAACCCTGCTCTGCTCAGAGCCCTGGCTAAATTTCTGAAGATTTTAGCATATTCCCACGGGCTATATTGCCATAATTAAAGATGCGCATTTCATCAAGAGTGCATATTTGCTGTAGTTGATGTTAAAGGAAAATGTTTTTTTTTTAGTGTGCACCCACACAACAATTGAATGACTCGTTAGGGTTTTGAGTTTTCGCATGGAGGCATTAAGCAAGTAATTCTGCATTTTTTTATTTATTTACACTCGTACCCACAGCACCATATAGGCATTACAATGGGGGGGGGGGGTTACACAGAGAATTTATAAATCATACATTTCAAGAACATTGGTAGTGAAAAACTAAGGAGAAATAGCGGCATACATTGTTGTCAATACACATGAATTTTATAAAAGATCCGCTAACCCAGACAAAGAGAGGAAAAAAAAATGAAATTTATACTGTATAAACATAAAAAATACAAAAAAGATGCGATAAAAACTAAACACCGCATAAAATTCCACTGCAGCTGAAGACAGAATGAGATGTGAAAGAGCGGCCGCAAAAGCTTCGTTATCTATTATGCTGACCTTGTCAGCAGGCAGACGATTCCATTCAGAAATAGTTTTGGCAAAAAAAGTGCCTTTAAAAAGATTAGTCCTGCAGCTATATTCTCTAACCTTGAGCTCATGATCTGTTCGTCTTGATACATAATGGGGCTGAAGAATATACTGATTACGGTCTATTCCAATGTGGCCATGATATATATTGTGAAAAAGCTTCAAGTGCAAAATTTGCCTTCTTCTTTCTAGAAGCTCCCATTTTAATGTTTCCTTTGTAGCAGCAATGCTAAGGTTTCTCTCATAGCTACCGATAATGTATCTTGCAGCCATGTTCTGAACTCGTTCAAGCTTGTCGCAATCGGCATTTGTGGGAGGATCCCACACAGTGCACCCATACTCTAATATTGGTCTGGCGTAGCTCTTGTAGAGAAGATCGCGGGCCTGCTGAGGAAACAGCTTTGTGTTACACCGCAAGAATGAGCTGGTTCCAGATAGTTTGGCTTAACAACCTCAATAACAGATGCTGGAAGGAGTTCTTTATGAACAAATGGTTCCCCATTCAACTGGGCTTTGTTGAACTACATAAAGTTTCGGCATCCTTCGAGCAAAGGCCGTCTAATGGATTGGTATCATTTGATGGCATGTAAAAATGTGTGAACCGGCAGCTTTTTGCATGTCCTCCACGCTGGCACTGTTTCTTTTAACGGCCCAACGATAATAGTTTTGGTTCTTGCCAATGATGACACCACTAAGACATCCCCTGCTGGATATAGACGAGAGCATGCCTATCTCGCAGGCGCCTTTGGCGATATACTCTTGCTCCCAGAGACGCCATAATTTGTTTGGAACTGCCAAGGTGCGCTTCGCTAGCATAGCATGCAGTGGCTCTGGGAGTATGAAATGCGAAAAAGCGCCTGTTCACCCTGTGCCTGCTTATAAAATGTCATCTAGGTACCACTACGCTGTCATCTGATGCGACAACAACCAGCGCAAGAGGAAGAGATTGCCGAGCACTGCCTGTGAAGTCCACAGCGCATCGCAGGAATTGTGCCGGTGCGGTGTTTTGCGATTGCACAGATTTCCGTCCACAACGAAAAACACTGAGCTGCGCCACCCTATAGGATATAATCGCAATCAGCAGAAAAAACTACGAGCCCAGTGAAGTGTACGAGTAAGTATACTTATTGCGTTTATTCAAGCGCGACTCCAACTGGTCCACTTTACAGCGGCAATTTGCGTGCAGTATGCCTGTAGTATGCGGCACAAACTCATTGCCGTATTCTTTCACAAGCCGCATGTCAATAATAAGCGATACGTATTACGACTCACTTGCGGATGAACGCGCCATGCATGTTTAGTACAACTGTAACGGCCAACTATTGCGATGAATAGAAATGTGAACGGTGCGGAAAGCATGGCATTTGACTTGGTCGAACTACGACATGTCTTGACTGTCACCAGGCGAATCTACATGTGCTTTCGGCCACCATCACCGTAGCATTTTAAAATCTTGTTGGCACTTTTGCACTGCGTGTGTTCCGAGTGCTCGGCACGATTGATAAACACATGTAATGCATGAGCGCAAGTTCGAGCCAGATTCTAGCGCTACATTGACGCCGGCTTACAGCACAAATTCTGCCTTGTCACAGCCAAGGCACGCCACGGTTAACGTTGTTCGCGTTTCTTTCAGTCGGATTCTGTGTACCTGACGAAGTTGCTTCCGCAGTCTGCAATGCACGTGCTGCAGACACTCTGGACTGTCAAGAAAGGTCTCCTCGACGTTTCACACAAAATCGGCATGAAATTCTAGCACAGGAACAGGGCAAAACATGCTTACAGCCGCACTCGGGTTTTGAAGTTTCCCGTTTGATTTGCAGAGCGTCTGCTCACACGGCAGTTGAGGGTGTTGCTTCGCCGCGCTTGCAACAGATGGCGCCACACGCTTTTCAATATGGCAGCAAGCCCAGAGTTCGCTGTGTTCTGGTGTATAGACTTCATGACAGAAAGTGTGATGCCTCAGCTTTTTTTCATTTTCACAGTTTTGGGCCCGTTCTTTTCTGAATGTGCCAAATGCACTCCAGCTTGCAAACTGTAACCTCTCCATACAGCTATGATGCTTGAACTGCAAGGAATCCCTTGTTATTTAAGTATAGGGGCATGACAGGCCGCTGCACAAGTTTTGAAATATGTCATCTTTAGAGAGAGAAAAAAAAAAGCTCACTGAGACAAACGACTGATTTTGGTTCAGAAAAGGCTGCATATTTCAAATACTGACTAAAGAAAAAAAGACTTTCTATATTTTTGCTTATCCTGTCTCTATAAAGCTCATTCAAGCTTTCATGTAGCTGGGAAAATGGATAGCTTGGCTAAGACAACATCGAAGACAAATATGATGCAGGCTGCTGGGCTGTTCAAACAAGGCAGCTGAGCAGAATGTTTTGATTCAGCAGATATAATTGTTTGTCCACAAATAGACTTTGTTATGAGCTCAATTAAAGCTATACTCAGCTGAACTGTGGAAGCCTTTCTTAAAAAAAGGAACATTGGTTGTTGCATGTCCATCACGTTACTTTATCCTGAGCTTGAATTGTTGAGCAACCACCTCACTTGTCTTTATTTCTGTCTACTATAACATCTGTGACAAAAGAACAAAATATGTTAAACCCATGCTTGAGATTCAAGCAAGTTGTGAGTAAAGGTTGTCTTTGTCCCCCTTTCCTGCGTTGCTTGTCGTTTTGTTCCATGTGCTAATTTAACTCAACCACTTGTACAGAAATATCGAAACCATTCCAGAATCCTTTTAAAGCTGGCATCACTCCCAGATTCTAACATTTTGCCTTTTGGCAGCCTTGCAATGCATCCTACGGCGACAGAATAAAAAAGAAAAAGAACAGCCCTTTTAGGCAACCTCATCACCTCTAGCTTTGTACAGTCAGCTCATACTTCTCTCATGTTGCTTTTACAACCATCACAAATATTACACTTCAACAACAAAAATGTGCTTACCACTTCTCCACAGGCAGCTGCAATACTGTGCGCCAAAGGAGTCATCAAGCTCGGCACAACCGGACTAATGATGTGTTTCACTCCTTCGTAGGTGCAGAAAAATAGTGCGGCTGTAAAGAAACAAAACATTTTGCATCTCAAGCACCCAATCTTTAGAAATAATAAACAGTGTGGAATTGGAGTGTACAGTTCACAGTGAGTCATAAAGGAACTTCAAAAATGGCAAGAGGATTTGCCAAGTGCAACGCATATTAGAACATAGTGCGAGTTTGTCCAAAAAACAACCAAAGAGCTTTGCCCAAACGATTGCTGGCAGTTGTAACATGTTGCACTAAAACTCGATGACCTCAATGTTCTTTACGGGATACACGCTAGAAGGTAATTTTGGGTCAACATAAACATCATTACTTGAAGAATGAACACCATTTTCCTCAAGCTGACAAGCGTGGCTTGAAGGACCTTTTAGGCAAGTTTATTTTCAGGTCAGGATAAAGGAAAAACTTTCACAACCACATTTTCCTCCTTGCTGTAGCTAGAGTGATCACTCGTCCCGCATTGAGTACTATGGCCTGGCGTCCGGCAAGAGGCACAAAGTCTTCAGAAATGTTCGCATTTTATTATCTGTCATGGTTGCTAAGCATCACCTTGAATTCAGCTACTTTTGGCCAACATCACTGATGATGTGTTAGCTACTGGTTCTACAAGAAAGACTTCAAGCTTCAAATGAAGTCTCAAATACATCAACGAGAACAAGAGAGGGAAGAAGAAAGATGCACACTCCTACAGAGATTTTACTTTGAATATGGAGTATGGGGTGATAACATTCCCATTATTACTGCATGAAAAGCTACATGTGCCAGCCTACGCATTGCGTGTGCACATTTGCAGGAAGCTTCACACTTCCTCTGTGAGGGTGACTGAGGAAGGGCACACTTGACACAACTCGGGTGAAGCAAGAGGTGTGGGATACTTCCTAGGCTTCTAGTCCGTTATATGTGGAAACTAAGCCACGATTGCTTTATGAATGACTGTTTCTTGAGTTGCCAAGTTTCTATCTTGATATCATTGACTCTTTTTGTGTTGAAACATTTTATGGTAATGTATAACATAGCTTTGTGTTCAAAGATATGAGTTTGAACTTCTGAAAGCTACTCTATTGTCTTTTTAAATAAATGACAAAATGTTGCAAAAGAAAATTTCTCAAAAACGCTCAAAGAATAACTTTAAACGCACCAAAAGTACAGAACTCGCACGGAGTATGCGATAAGTGACATGTCTCTTTGGTGCCTTGAAATGTATTGCCAACATGCCCAAGCCTATGCCAACACCCCAACCCACCGGTCGGTGCATCCCGTTCGCGGAAAAGTGGTATACTTGACTGCGCGGCGTGGTCACAAACAGTAATGGATTTGCCACAGGCTGCGTGAATTTGTATTATGTCTGCAATTTACACCATGCACAGACCTCAATTGTCTGGCACGGCTGTGACTTTTTTCAATGCAGTTTTTCCAATGCCTTTCGTACTTTTCGCGCTTCGCCAGTGGCCAGAGCGACAACGTCCACGTTATCGACGTGATCAGCCAGCCGCAAGTGGTGGCATCGCTCCGCGATAGCCCTCCTGGTTTCCACGGCGCGCAAAACTGTACCTTCGTACTTAGCATTTCTAGAGCCCACAAATACTAAACTTACATGTCGGCGCTGATCCAAGCGCAGCAGATGCGATGCCGGAGTAGATCTTCTTGAAGCCTCCCGCTTTCAGGAAACCTTGCTGGCTTTGCAGGCGCGTTTTAAGCGTGTCCAGTGGGAAAATAACGACATCCACTGTAGTACCAGCGATGGCGCCAGCCTAGAAATGAGAGAAAGGTGAAAGGAAGCGATGTCCTGAAGTAGTCTGCCGCACTGCAGCCACGCTCTTTGTGAATATACAACTAAGGCACGTACCACGAGCGATACGAAAAAAGACGGATTGTCAACACTTCCCATTTCGCCCGGTAAAGTTTTCACTCCAGTTCGCGAACACTTTATAACCAGTCTATGAACGTATCAAAGCACTCAATTCATATCTGCCGGGCGTGCCGCAAACCGCACTTATCGTTCAGAACTCAACATGGCTGGCCCGCGTCCCTGCAAAGGTTACAAACCACAGACAACACAATGTTACCGCACATCGCATAACCCCATGCAAGCACACTGCTAACAGAACACCCAAGAACATCTGTGCTGCCCATGCTGCCCGTGCCCCAACCCTCCTCTCCACCAGGAAAAGGCATGGTTCTGCTTGCGGCTGGTTTCGGTTTCAGCTCGAAGACCGCCCCTGCTAAATTTTTCAGAAGTCTTTACTAGAAACACGTAGAATCAAAACAGAGTAGCATGTCAAATGATCAGGTAACATTGGTTTTTACTATTAACATGGACTGTGAATCTAGAAGGTTGTGTTAAAAAAAGGAAAGGAATGCCTGTGGTGGCTCGAATTTTAGCGTTCAAGTCATTGCTCGCAGCATCAATCCAATCCTAGCCACTTCTCAAGTTTTGTATTATAATTGTAGTGAACTGTACGATACTACATTTTTCCATCCTAACAGTTTTCCCACGTGCAGTTTTCCATTCCAACCTTTTTGATCGTGAACGAGGCGGAGAGGATGAAAGATTTTACGATACAGCCCCTAGAGGACGCAGCCGCTCGTTAGCGCGCTTCGATCGCACGCGTCAGCCCGCGCCCTGACGAGTTCCTGGCGTTGTAAGTATGGTGGTTGTGTTGTGTTCGCCCACGAGGCGCCAATAAATTGTAAACGATAAAAAAGGAGGTCTGGGGGCTATGCTGCAGCCGCGCGTCTTCAAAAGGTCACATGCTGGCGGAGTTAACGTACACGTATAATATTCGAGGTTGCGGTTCCACTTCAATAACATTATTTTTTACTCAATCACGTTTGAGTACAATGATATAAATACTCAGAAACGAATATAGCGTTTATATCAGGAACATAAAAATATAAGAAACAGTAAAAGGACGCAAGGACAGACGTTTTGGCGCAATCTAGACTGTGAGTAAACAGTGCAATTAAGGGAAAAAAGCATATAAATCAATCAAAAATATATAAAGTAATAATAAAAACAGTGAAATAGAATTTAGAAGCACATATGAACATCTCTTGACTTTTTGCGCCTACTTCAACAGCAGCCAGTACAACGGCTAAAGTAGGCGCAAAAAATCAAGAGAGGTTCCTATGCGCTCCTTATTCAGGCTCTGAAAAGGGAGATACCTTCTCTTCGCATGACTTCCTTTGCATAATGACACAAAACAAATTGTTTCTATCTCTTTATGCATGGTGTGTTGGAGCGGTTAGAAAGAATTTCAGTTGTACGCAAGCTTAATGTGTTCTCTTCAAGACGCAGCTCAGAATTAAATTGCTGCAGTTACCGAAATAACAGTGTCAGATCAAGCTACACAAGAAACCGGTGCCCCTAACCTCGTTCTTGCCTCAATTTTTGTGATATTTCTTCCCTTTATTCTACCACACGCATTTTGTTGTTAATCTTATGAGTTCACTTAGCAGGCTCATCATAAAGAACTTTGTCGCTGCATCGTGCATTCTGCGCGGTGGCAGATTCCAAGGGGGCGGGGGTAAGTTGGTGCTGACCGCCAAGTCCCTGTCAGCACATCTCTCCCCCTCAATTCAGTGCTTTTCGTCCACCCCCTATCACCAATTAGGACAAATGAGCTTTTGGCGCTGCTCTTCGTTTGATCCTGAACACGGTGGCCGCATTTCTATGGAGGCGAATAGCCACAGGCCCGTGTGCTATGCTATGTCAGTGCATGTTAAAGAACACTAGATGATCAAAATTTTGGTGGACCTCACACATAGCGGGAATCGAGTTCATGCGACGCCAGATCTTGTGCTTTGAGCATTACAAGATGCATATATATGCCTTTTAATTGAATACTGTATGCCTTTGTGTTAATTGCATCGACTCTCAAATCGAGGACTTGCAATGGACGTGGAGTTGACTGGCACTCAAGGGTTATAGCGCACAATCTTATCTCACAATGATCCATGATAAGGCACACGGCAAGTTTGATCAAATGAACTGCATAATGCGGTACTTACAATGCGTGCAACATTTAAGTACAGTGTCATAGTAGTGTATGTGTCGTGCTTACTGCATTGTTATCAAGGTGGTTATAGCCAACACCGCAACTACACTGTTCTTACATCACTACTAAAATACTCTTCCACGTAATTTTCAACCATCTGCGGGCCTTTGGATAGGTCACTCTTAGCATATACGTAATTATCATTCTTTGCAAATATTGAAATTTTGCAAGAAATAGCATCTAATGCTATTCTTCAAATGTGCGACCCGTGGTATACGGGTATATGTGCCACATGTGACTGAGGGAAAGAATTTCACAAATCACGAACAAGAACATCACGTTATACATTTCGTGGCTTACCACTTGAGTTCGTCATACACTCACGTACTCATATGGTAACTAATTTTGCTAAGGAGAAGACAACTGCAGCATCAGACTTACGTAGGCAATTATGCAATCGATAAAAACACTTAAAGTGCATTTGTTTATAATTTGAGCGCTACACAAAAATACTGCACATTTAAAACTGGACTGTAAAGAAAATTCCATGTCAAGACAGTCAAGAATATGTCGATCTGCTAGGGTCTGCATATGCGGATCTGTAGAAGACCTTTCATATGGTTCGCAAAAATATAATTTTCACTGTCTACCTCATTGGTCGGTCTCGAAGATAACAGAGAGTATTGAAATCACCTGCTAAAGTAAATATATTGGGTAGCATTTCTGAGACAAAAACGTTCTTGCGCTGCCTGCCGTCAACCGCCGACCGCCGCTACCACCGCTCGCCAACGCGTCAGTAAAGTTACTGTATAAGCTACCTAAAGGTAGCATATACAGTAAATCTACACGCCAGCAACACAGAGCGCTGCGGCGCGATGCATAGAATCCGGTTTCTCTCCCACCACTGGGGAAAGCACATGCAGAGAACACCAATGGCACTAAGAAAACCTTTGTAACCACTATACTACAGTATTGTTGCAGTGCTTAGAATATATTTTAGACACTACAGTATTGTGGTATTGTTCTCTGTGTTACTGTGGTAGGTGTTCTCTAGTTCACGAGGCTGTGCATGTTCTGTTATACCACTTATCGGGTGTTACCAGGTGCCGGTAGTGTCGTGGTTTGAAAAGCCTTGATCATTAGATTTCATCAATTCTTTTTTGCATGACTCTCTCAGTAGCCATGAAGCTCATTCGCTTCCCTGCACAGCTACGTAAGCGCAATGTGCTTAGACACTTGTTACGTGCATCTCGTCTAAGCCAGTTACAGTTCTCTTGAAAGGAAGCTGTAGCTCGGCAATATCTGTGATTCAAATGCCGCTTCGTGATTTGAATGAAGTTTGGTAGAGTTAATGATAGCATACATGCCATGACATTAATATTTGTTGAATGTTCATTTCTTGCTAAGCCAATTCGTGTGTATACCAAGCTGACATACCAAGACAAAGACATCAAGAGAGATGGATGTGGCCAAGGTGCTTTTTGTTTGCCAAGTGCTTCACGTTTATAATTTGCTTATTAGAGTGACTTAATTTAAACTTTTTTAGATGCAAGAAGTATCATATTCAATGCAGTAATTACTGACAAAGATAGTCTATCCTATCTTGTGTAGTATAATAAGAGTCTCAAAGACTGACGCTTCCTCTAACTTGCAAATGAGAATTAATGACAGTCTTTATTTTTTCAGGTATTCCAAACTTCCAATGAAGAGAGGAGTTCTTAACGACCCCGTCACCCACTACATCCTGTTTCAACCAGAAATCGGAACAGAAGAGACAAGCCAAGCCCCTGATACACCAGGCGACGATGCTGTCTATGTGGTGGATGATTCGCCTGATCATTCTGGTGCTGTTGCCACTGAAGAATGGCTGTCAGCATCAGGTAGCTTTTCTGAATGCAGCACGACAGAGCAAACTGCAAATGACGTGAAAACGAAGAAAAAGCACTCATTTGTTTGGGAACACTTTGAACGCCACACGTTAGACAAGTGCAGCCAAGTGTGCAAACACTGCAACAAGAGTGTACGTCTCGGAAAAGAAGGCGGCTGCAGTAAACTAGGCACCACAGCTATGCGTCGCCACCTTGAAATCCACCATGCTGATATTTTGCCTGGTGTATCGCCTCGAGCAAGCGCTGTGCGCACCAGAAAATCGCAAGCTGTGAATTTTCCAAGTGACACTGCAGTAGCCAGTGGCAGAAAGAAGAAGAGCTTGGATGGGAGAAGCAAGCGGCAGCTTTCATCGTCAGTTTGGCAGCACTTCGATTATAATAGGAGTGACAGATTCCTGGTAGTGTGCAGAATCTGTAGAATGCAAGTGCGTTTGGGAAAGGATGGTGGCTGCAATAGAGTGGGCACAACAGCAATGCACAAGCATGTCACCATTCATCACAAATTCTTACTTCAGAAAAACCCCGCACTCGGGATGAGAGATCAGAGCCACAGCAGGAGAAGCCAGGATATGTCCTGCAACATGAAAAAAGGGCCACAAACGTCACCTATGATTGCTACTGAACACCACAAAACATCTGAAGCCAAGACAGAGTCCTGTGCTCCGCATCACTTTAATTTAATGGCTCTAAACCACTGCTTGGCAATGTACATAGCTAACAGTGTCCGGCCGTTTTCATTTGTAGAAGAACCAGCTTTTCTTGAGTTCATGCAATGTTGTGTGCCACAATGGAAAGTTCCAGATAAGGGTTATTTTGCTAACTCTGGAGTTCCTGCACTCGCAACCATGATTAAAGAAGCGGTGAAGGAAGACCTGAAGACTTGTGTTGGGGGTATGGTGCACCTAGGCACTGAGACGTGGCAGGGCCCCCACATGTCTGACTTGGTGTCTGTTACAGCATTCTGGGTGAAGTCTCAAGAGCCTGAACAGAATCTTGTAAGATGCAAGGCCGTCTTGGATGTTGTCAATCTTGGAGAGTCGTGCACTGTTGAAAACATCAATCAAGCTCTGGAGACAGCCATTAAAAATTGGCTACTGCCCGCGGAGCTTAGGGTAGGAAATGTGATTACTGAACGTTTACCCAGTGAAGCACTGTGTTTCGCAGAAAAGCAGCTGAAACATGTCACCTGCATGGCCCACTGTCTCAACTTTGAAGTAGAAAACCTACTCTTCACGTTTCATAGTAAGTTAGCCGACTCTTTTGAGCTGGCTCGTTCTATTTGCAGCCAGTTCTGCCATAGTGACACAGCTAGAGCCAAATTAAAAGCAATCCAATTGCACCACAACCTCAAGCAGCGGCCGCTCATGCCAGATTCTCCTACTAACTGGAAAAGTACGTTGCGCATGTTAAAGCACTTCTGTGAGCAGAAGCTGGCAGTAAATGAGTATCTGAAAGTGACAGGTGGAAGTTTGGTCAGCCCAGAGCAATGGTTAGTGCTCAGAGATGCAGCTAATGTGCTGCAGCCTGTGGAAGAAGTTGTTCGCCTTCTGAGCATGGATTCAGCCATGCTGGGACAGGTCCTTCCCCTGCTCTGCTTTGCTGAGAAGATGCTACAGAGCACATTGGAAAGATCCGAGGGAGGCAGTCCTGCACATTGGCTTTCAGCCCACCTCCTTTCAAAGCTTAACTCAAGCAGCCATGTAACTGCTGTAAAAGGAGACCTCACATACTGGACTGCAAGTTTCTTGGACCCTCGTTTCAGGGACACCTTTTGCAGTTACATCGGCAGTGATCAAGTGACGGCAGAGCAAAAGCTCAATGAAGTAAAGAGGCACCTCATCATGAAAATAGGCGAAACTTATAAAGGCTCTACAAAATCATTATACGCAGCTAATACTGAGAAGTTGCCGTGCCAAGATGAAAGTGCCCCATCACTCGATGAGGACTTTTCACTGTGGCTTACAAATGCCGAGCAGATGGGGCTCACCAGATCCAAGGTGGAAGTTTCTTCAGACTGCGCAAACATAGAGGAAGCAGCAACTGCCAAGTTTGAACTTGAGGCATACATGCAAGACAACATTGCCGATTTCTCAGCACCCATGAGTGATCCGGCACTGTATTGGCAGACAAAGCGAATGATTTGGCCTTCTTTGTACTCTGTAGCAGTTACATACCTGGCATGCCCCCCGACCAATACATACTCAGAAAGAATGTTTGAAAAATACGGTGCTGTTACTACTGAAGGTAGGCAGAGTATCTGTGCCAATACTCTGAGCTTATTGTGTTTCATACGAATGAATCACAACTGGGTGCCAAAGGACGTTTCAGATGCGCCGGCTAATGTTATCAACTCTTTACGCAATGCCATGGACAGAGGCAACACTGATCAGAATATTGACTCTCATTTTGTAGGTGCAGATAGTCAAGTGCTACTGAAAAGAGTTCTTTTCCAGGAATAAAGTCATCACTAACAGGTTACAAAGTTATCCACTGTTAGGCAACAGCAGTGCATTGCTTTCTCTATTTGCCAGCTAGCATCCTCTTCACCGATTATGTGTCGAGCCTTTCAAAAAGCTACTGTGAAATATATGAAAAACTAAATAATCTGCTGCTTCCATATTTATTTTTGGATCTTTACATTTAGCCAGTCATGTGGCACTTTGTGTATTGAATCCTCTCCCCACTGTCCAGTTATAAGAATAATGAGATCTTGCAGAGAATCATGCCAAGGAAAGTATAGGGTATGTTATTCTAAAGAGCTTTAATGTAAATGAAAAGAAAGAAAAGTGGACAAAAAGATAACTTGCCATGTGCAGAGATCGAACCTGCAAACTTCCAATAATGCATCCGGTGCTCTACCAACTGAGCTACCACGGCGGCTATCCCTCCGTCCTCTTTAAGGGGTATAAACGTGCATTAAATGAGGGTGCGTCATTCAGTGCCACTAGTAGCCACGACGTTGAGTGTGGAACAATCATTAACTGTCAAACAGGAAGGTAATGAGCTAAGAAGTTAGGAGTTGCAATGCTTACGTAATAATGTCAAGGGAAACATCTTGTTGTAGTGCTTGTGTGCATGCCAAACAGTGTGATAACCATTTTCTTTTTCTTCAAGTTCTTCAAATTTGTAGTAGTGGCCTCTTAGATTTGCATGGATTGTTGGTTGGTTTCTACCCTCGTCCCAGTTGTCATGTTCTCCCGTGGCAGCACACAGACGACACTCGGTTCAATTGCCGACTGACGTACCTGGCCAGCAGCTAGTCTATTTGAATGACCACAAGAGCGATAAAAAGCGCCATCTTCAGGCACTATGTGAAACTGCTTAAACTGATAGCAGCAACATAACACCTACAGTAGTGCCTTTGGTACACTTCTGTTATTGTTGACAGGATCACGAGCAACAAGCTTTAAAGAGGTACTAGAGGAAAATTTTATGGTTTTCGTTTTTTTTAACGAAAGGCTAATGTCACAAAAACCTAGAAAATGAACCGGTTAGTACGAGTGTGGCCTGAAAGATGGATTACTTTTTTTTTAGAGACAGTTCTGCTTCCTACTTTACATTGACATCATGACAAGATATTTGCTTATCACGTGCCCACACACATATAGCAATGTTTTTAAGGCTGCTCCGTTCCCTGGCTCTGGTGACTTCAGTAGGTTCATCATGAAAGAATTGACTTGACTGTCAAAATAAAATATGAACATTTTCTGGGCTTCACATTGTACACAAGAAATTATATTGCAAGGTAAGTTTTGATAAACAGTAGGTCAGTAACCTTTTCAGACACCACCTATGAAGAACTGTCTGTAAATGTCATGTTCACTTTAGTGTGTTACAGTAACTAATACTAATTAAGTTGTAATTGAATATCTATTCACCTGAATTTACTGATGATCTGTTTTGGCATAAACAGAATGAAATTTCTAACTAAAAATATAGTCCAAATTTATTTTTAGTTCAATCCATTTTGAGCAAAGAAAAATTATACTTTTCACGTAGCTTACAGGAAGCGACATGTTGAATAAGTTACCAAACGCTGTAGTGATATATGCAACAGTGTGCTGCAAAACGAACTTAAATGAATATATATTTATTATGCAGGAGGCCCAGTTGATTAAAAGCTTGGTTTATTTCACTCTTAATGCTTAGTTCTTTCAAATAACAAAAAGCAGTATACACAGTTCTGTGTATAGCGTGCCAAAGTGTTATAAGGCGGTCTGCCGCTTGGAACTGTGCTGGTGCACCGTAAAGGTTTGTTTCATTTCCCTTGACCAACAGACTTCAGGCGACATGGTGTCTGTCTTCTCTTTTCTATGCTCCCTTTTGCCTATTATCACTGCCTATAGTAATCACCCGATGAACGAAAAAAAATGAGTAATATGATGCCAAGTTTAGTGGATTTTTTTAGAGCGCAGCTCTCGGGCACCCGTTCTTACATTGAACATTGTCCCTTTTTGGCCCTCCCTATATCCACCTGGCTCATGCACCTCAAGCAATGCATGCCATGCTCTTCTTTTTCTTAGCCTGGCACGAATGCTCTGAAACCTTTGCCCCCAAAACATAAAATGAAAATATAAACTGGTTTTTGTAAAAATAGAAGGAAGTCATAAAAGGATAAAGAAGCACTGTACATAAGTGCAGTTCACACTGTTGCAGCAGAAAGCAAATTCATGAAAACAAAACAACAAAAGAGAATGACGCAAGAATACTTCAAATAGTAAGTGAACAATTAAAGGGAAAAAAAGATAAACCTAAGTGCACATCCATACTTCCTCTACATTTATGCCATTGTTCCATCCTATATTCATGTCCTTCTTGTGCAGCATTGTAGCCACTAATGCCTCTCAAATTATTTGCCTCAGCATGTATCGCCAAATGAAAATGCGCGGTCCTCAGACAACCCACAGGTGAAAGCCATAGTCTTTTTCTTCGGAGTCAATTGTTCTGACCCCCCCTCCCCCACCTCGTTAAGGCTTTCTGCACTTCCTCCAGTATTGGCGCACCCTTGGGTAAAGGATGATGTCACATGTTGCAAATCATTTTACGAAATTTCACACTTTCACCTTGATAATAATTTTCCTCTTGCTTTTTTACATCATGTAGACCAAGAACCTCAAGCTCATCTCAGCCAGCGGCTGCTGTCACGAAAGTTAGTCCCACGAGGGTCAGGACAGAGGGGGGGTTTGAACAAAATTTCACCTAGCACTGCCAATTGAAAGAAAATTTTTCCCACATCTCATATATGGGTGCTTTCTGTGAGGGATCTGATGTGAGATTTCAAAAAAGATATCAATACCATTTCCACAATAACTAAAATTTGGATGCCCATTCTGAAATATTCAGTTTTCGTTCAACGAGGATGCTTCAACTCGGTGACTGCATGGGAAACTTACAAAAACAAAAAGACGGAGAGAAAAACCTTGAGGCCACTTCAGTCTCTCTAGCTTACTTGAACAATGCACTATAAATTGCAACGAGCAAGAAAATAATGTGAGTATACTTATTCCTCTATATAACGAAATGTTAATGATAAGAAAGTAAATAAAAATAGTCTTGCAATGGATATAGTGTTAGGAATATACCTTCATAACGAATTTTTGGCTATAACAAACTTATGTTCGTGTAAGATGCACTTTTTATAATGAGGTTTGAGTGTACTGTTTAGCAAAGCCACAAGGCTTTCATTCCATGTGAAGCTGCCGGCCACAAGCGAAAGGTCCATGGGCCGCATGTTTTAAACCGCTGATGTAAAGCGTGTGATGCCACAACCTGTTGCCCAGCACAGTACCATAAAGGCTACGTCAGCACCAGTCTGTAGGTTTTTGCAGTATTTACAGAAATACTGAGATGCCATCTGTTGATGCGTTCAATTTGTAAAAATAGAGATGACATTGCTCTTGTGTACAGCCCTTGCAGCAAACAAAATATCTGCAGTGTTGCACACCACGGATGGTATGGTACCAATGAACTGTGGGAACCTCTATAGCACAGCACTAGGTTTCGGAAGTTGTTTGCTTCCAACCTGTGTGTTTCCAGTTGGGCACTCTAGGCAGTTAACGTCCGTACATAGACAGAAATGGAGAGGGCAAGGTAGCTCAGCTGGCAGTGGGCACTCACGGTGAAGGAAAGGAGGGAACATAGTGTGGTAGCAGCGTTTGTCTTGGCATTGCATCTTGACATTGCTCCAGTACGATTAAAGTTGCTAGAAACTGGTGAAAGCAAGACTGTGTAGTGTGCTTACCCCATATAAACAAGCTAACCATGGTGGTATTGACAGCAGCAAAAAGACTGTGCAAAAACGAAGAATGCATCCAAAGACCATGAATCGAAGAAAAATGTCAGGCTGCAATTGCTGATATAGAAGAAGCGAGCAAAGATGTGTCTGCAGTGAAAATGCTAATACACCTTTACTGGCCATTCGTCATATAAATTTTGCAGCCAAAAAAAAAAAATAGATATCTTTGTTGGCCATAGCCACGGTGCCTCACTTCCTTTATACAGTGGTGCTGGGGTTAGGTTACAGCACAGATTTTGCGGGTGCGGGACAAATGTGCTGTCAAAAAAATGGCCTGGGGATTGCATTTCGCAATTTTACAGCCACTATTTATAGGTGCAAACAAAAATTTGCCTCGCAGCAAGGAATGCCGGGTAAGGTCTTGCACTTTTTATTTTGTCAGAGTAGCAGACTCTAAAGTAAACCATGGGTCACTAATGTATTGCAATGAAAATTAGGGGTACCATCATCAGACAGGACACCGGCAAGCTATTTCAGGAGAGAAAAAACCTCATTAAAGAGACGTCAAACCATAAAAGTCTCAAATGCAACAGACAAAATAGAACTGGCAGAGCTTTGGAAGTTAATATCCGTAAGATAGCCAACAGAAGAAGGTATGGTATGGAGAGAATTGAGCATGCTATAAAAAGCCGAAGAAGCCGAGAAACTGTAAATGCAAAACTATGCATTGGCAAAAATAAAACATATGCATTAAGGAACAAGGAAGGCATCAAACAATACGGAGAAAATAGTTGACATAGTGGAGGAGTTCTACAGGGATCTGTAGAGAGAAGACGAGACCACCAGGATGAAATAGTAAGAAGGAATAATAGGCCAGAGAAATCTTGCATCCCACAAGTAACGACAGAGAAAGTAAAGAAAATCTTAAAGCGATTGCAAAGAGGCAATGGTGAAAATAAAGTAATGTCAGACCTGTAAAAAGATTGGGAAGACATTGTTTTAGAAAAACTGGCCACCGTATGTACGAAGTGTCTTTTGACAAGGAGGGTACCAGAATCTTGAAAGAATGCCAACATCCTAATTTTTAAGAGACATCAAGACCTTGAAAAATTTAAGGCCTATCAGCCTACTGCTTCATTGTCTTTAAGCTATTTATAAAAATAATAGCTTATAGAATTAAGATGGCATCAGAATTCACTGAACCAAAGGACCAAGCAGAATTTCGTACAGGCTACTCAACAGTAGACCATTATCATACTATAAATCAGGTAATAAAGAAGTGCACTGAATACAACCAGCCCCTATACCTAGCCTTCATAAGTTATCAGAAAACATGTGATTCGATTGAGATATCAACAGTTAAGCAGGCACTGTGGAATTGGGGCATTGACGAAACCTATATAAACATACTGGAAGAAATCCACAGCTGCCAGTCTTCCATAAAGAAAGCGATAGAGACTCGCTAAATAAGGGTGTAAAGGCAGGGATACACAATCTCTCCAATGCTATTTAGTGCACATTCACAGCATGTTCTCAAGGTGCTGGATTGGGAAGAGTTAAGGATAAGGTATTAGAGGCTATCTTCGTAATGCTTGATTCGCTGATGACGTTGCATTGATGAGTAACTTGGGCATGAATTTCAGCTCATGATTACTGAACTAGACAGCAAAGCAGGAGAGTAGGTCTGAAAATTTAAATTTATAAACCTAAAGCAATACGCAGCAGTCTTGGCATAGAACAGCACTTTGTGATAGGAGGTGAAACGCGGGAAGTTGTAAAAGAGTATGTCTACTTAAAACGGGTAGCAACTGGAGAGCCGTATCATGACACAGAAATAACTAGAAGAATGGGGTGGAGCACATTCAGCAAGCATTCCCAAACTATGAATGGTAGTCTACCACTATCCCTCGGGAAGAAAGCATATAACAGCTGCATCTTAGTGTTACTTGCCTACGGAGGAGAAACCTGGAGGCTTACAAAGATGGTTCAACTTAACTTAAGAACAACACAGCGAGCAATGGAAAGTAAAATGATAGGTGTAACGTTAAGAGACAGGAAGAGGGCACAGGGGTCAAGGATATCGTAGCTGAAACCAAAAAGAAGAAATATACATAGGCCAGGCATATAGCACGTAGGCAGTATAACCACCAATAATTAGGAGTACCTGACTGGATTCCAAGAGAAGGCACATGCACAAGAGGTAGACAGAAAATTAGGTGGACAGATGAGATTAAAAACTTGGCGGGTATAACGTAGCAGCAAAAAGCTGCTGCCAATATTTTCTGTGTGCCACTTAATTTCGGAGATATGCATAGGCTTTATGCTAGTTTACACTGATCAGTGCAATTTAGGGCAAAAGGTAAGGGCAAGGACAAACTGCAAAAAAAATATTGGACTGCATAAAAAGCCCAGTGCCAGACTGCTCAAATACAGACCATAGTGTAAACACACGTCAGTGCGAAATCTTGGAACTTGAGAAACAAATAGTGTAAAAGAAAAACAGCAATGTTGGCAGTTTTTCACTGCACAACTGAATCAAAATTCATTCCTTTTTTTGTCAGAAGCGACATAACTTATCAGGCTAAGCGTACTGAAAAAATCTTGAAGGCATAACCTTTCATGTTGCATCCCTCGCACATATGGCAACGCTTTTGACAGAATAGGAGGCATTGCCATGTGTACAACCACATACCCTTGAGAAACATCAGCACTACCACCAAATGAACAAAACTGACACTTCCCTCAGCTAAGTAATGAATAGGTTAAGGCATATGCTTACATGACACATTCATTAACTTAGTTTAGTTTTCACGGATAATTACGTTCGTCCCTGCCCCTCTTTCCTGCCGAACCCTGAAGCGTTCTGCCCATTTTTCGCAAAACCTTCAGTATTGGCCCACCTTAGGCGAAGCGACGACATGCGATGGTGTCATAAATGCCAACCATATGCGACATCACTGATGACATCTCATGACATTTTACCCAGGTTTTTCCCGAGTCTCGTAGTACATCGCAGGTCTCACAAGATCTCTTGACATACAAGGCATTAGCCTTAACCTCTTTACCACCTAACAAACACGTAAGCAATAAAAGCTGATGCAGTTTGTAAAATCTCATTTTACGAGGTTCCCCCAAGTGTAAAAAGAACAAACACTGTGCCGCTAATTACATTTTCCATGGGTCAAAATGGGTGTTGGCAAGAAGTTTAGTTGCGAATGTGGCAAAAACGCTGCCGATCATTGGAAATTGTCTTTCAGTGCCTTAAATATTTAAAAAAATAATTCCCAAAGACTAACAACATAACTTTCATTTGCACTGCTTCATATTCACAAAAAAAAATATCAAACAGTTAGGTCCAAGCAATTGTGGCCTGTGCTATTTGCCTACTGTCATCTTGTTTTGTCTGTAAACTTCAAGGCTGACTTCGGCAGCTCACTCTTGGAATATCGGTAAAAGACACTCTTGGCAACAAAGGCACGACATTTCAATGGTACCAAGCAGTCTGGTGTGTAATTTGCTTTAAAATCAAGTCCACAAACACAAACATATGTAGAAAAGTGGTTAATGTGTATGCTTGTCTACTCCTGTGTGATGGGTATAGCTTGGATGGTCACCCAGCTTCTCAAAGCCGAACGACTTTTTCGCTGACACAAATTATAGCACAAAAAAAAAACTTTATTGGCTATGTGGGAACCTCATTACAAGAGTACTTGTGTAGAAGTCAAGGCAGCAGGGCAGAATTCTTTCGCATAATGAGAATCGCTGCCTGAACTGAAAATATGCCAGATAAAAAAATGGCTGATGCCACTGCACAATAAAGATGCATGTGCTAAAAACAATGGTTGACACAATGTTCTGTCAACAAACCACTGCCCAGCTGACTTGTGCTAATATTTTGCTAGGTAGAACCTTTCTCAAGTATGTCTTTCCAAGATCTGGTGAGGCTAAACCAGTCTTTGTAAACAGTATATGCTTTTGTCAACAGGGCTGACAAAAGTCTGCAGTAATGAGGGCCAGAATAATGACACTGCATTCACGGGATATTGAAAAATAAATAGGAGGAACTTTTTCAGCTCCCTCCAGAATATGCAGCGAGAAATAGCCTCCCATTTTGTTTATATTAGAAGTGGACACATAGGCAGCTCAACTGAATGAAGAATAAACAATGTTGCAAAGTGTCCACACAGTACAGAAACTACATGTGCGAGAGTAACCATTCTTAAAAACCACCCAACAAATCATGCCTGCACGTTAGACCTTTGAAAAATACAAGTGGGCATTGGGTCACATGTGATAAGTTCAACACAACTGTATGTACAAAAGAGAAGCGTTTCTCATCTTGGGCAAGGGTATAACAAAAGAAAAATAACGGTTCTTAAATACAGAGTAGTGTGCCACCGGCAGCGGTAAATTGCAGACTTCACTCGGCTTTCGCTGCAAGACACAGACCACTACACCGCACGAATCTTGGTACCACGCACATAGACTCTTTCCACAGTGACCATCCTTGCTTGCACCGGCAAATTGTCTCCTTTGTAGCACAGAAACTGGCACTTGTTTATCTCCCTGCAGTCCTCAGGACCCCAAGCACAGCTTTCAGAATCCCGCCACTCACGTTGACAAAAAACACCTCACCATTCCACATTTCAACACACACTGCATCCTTCGCCGTATTTCTACATAGCTTGCTATGGCCACTCGACGCTATCTTCTCTCCACAAGCTGTGGTATAGACACAGCACAAGGAAAAACTGGTAACAGGACAAAACACAAGGACTCAATACTCACACATGCGCATTTTGTGATGGTAAAGAGAGTATACGAAATAACGACAAATGGGCCAGTAAGCGCTCGGTCCAGTCTCACTGTATTCCATATTTTAAGAATGCTAACAGCATCCGACACACACAAAAGCCAAGAGGTGGTGGGCCAATGCAGCAACAACCTTGATTGTGCATTCCTCTCTGACCAAACCTAATGCGACAGACAAATGTAATGGTGAAAAATCCAGAAAAAAAAGGAGAGAGTGGGGAGCAAAACAGAGCTTTGTGAAGCAAACTGTTACTCGTACAAAAGAAATATGTTTGTCAGAGCTGTTGCATGCAGCGAAACCAAAGCATATAACGATGAGTGCTTGTAGCACTTTTTATTTCAAACATCGACTTGTCGCAGCTGCTGCCAGTGGCAGACCACCTGAGGCACCAGTACAAAGAGATGGCAAATGGCACCACCCGCGCTGGACACACAAAATTGCAATAATGCGCTTCATGCCACTTGTGCTCCTGGCCATTTAGGAGCCAGATAGTAGGAAGAGCTCATCACGTGGTGTGGATGGATCATTTGCAATGTGTGTGTCCCTGGTTTAAACAGATGAAATGAGCATGCGAGTGCCACACAAAAGAAAGAGAGAGAGGAGGCAGAAAGAGGAGCAAGAGAGGAGGTCTTGTAGCATTGTTAGGAGGCTTCATTGTTGCTGAGAACCAACAGCGAGCTACCACTGTCTCGACCTGGCGGAGGTCTGGACGCTGCATCGCCAGAGGTGGAAGTAGTTGTGGAGGTTGTTCCCAGAATGCTGCTGGCCCATCTTTCTATGTCATCGAGGCTCAGGCAGGAAACAGATTGGGAGAATTCCTGCAGATATGTTGGGGGTTGCGCATTGCAGACAATCCAATTACCAAACGCAATCACTTATGAAAAAAAAAAACAAAAAAAAAACACACACACATACACATGAACTCGCCTAAAATGGCCTGTAGGGAACTACACACTGAATGACTATTTTACCATGCATTTATTATCATGTGAATGCAGTGTGCAATGTTTTTTTTTTTTTAAGGCAAGCAAAAGCCGTAGTGATAATACATAGCTCACACTTTCAAGGCACGATGTGCACAGGTGGTCATGTGACTAAAAGGGGCCCTGCGACAGTTTTGCAACTGCCTTTCTTTATTGCTGAATGCGTGTAGTAATAAACACTGAGACAAACGCAAGAAGAATTTTGAAAATTAGTCATATTGAGAAATTAGAATATTGTCACTTTCTTGTGCTGAAACATCGCTTTCGATCCCAAAAGCTGCCCTTTTGTGTTGCTGTAGTCCCAACATAATGTAACTTCCTTGTTGAAATAAAACAGCATTGTTTTTCGCGTTGCCACTCGCTCAGCGTCATTGGTGCATTCCACAACTGCAGAAGCATCGATGAAAATGACGCCCTTAATTTGTGTCGCAGGGCCTCTTAAGGGCAGAGTGACACAATCGCTTTCAAGATAACGTGAGTGTACAGCTCACACACCCAGAGCCACAAGAAGCGCGAATGACCATGCGAGTTTTTATGTCAATATGACAGCTTTCTGCCACGTGACCCTCCTTATCAGGAATTTTAGGCTTCTGCCTTAGCTTGCAACAGTGGCCATCCTGTAGCTTTCAATGAGTGCAGACTAGCAAGCCTACTCAGGCAGGCTTCCCACTGGGATTGTTAATATGTGTACCTGCCTACATTCACAAAACTGACAATGGCTATAACAATAGCAGTAGCCCTGCGAAGTTCTGTACATTAAATTGGGTGAAAGCATCAACAAATATGCATGGATTTGCAATAATAGGTCTAAAATAAACAATTTTATATATTCCACTATTTCATGCGTGTAAACTATACATTACGAGGAATGCTGTAGCAGAGGACTTTCGACCAGTCTTAGTGCACTGGCATTGTTTATTGTGTGCCTGCATTCAGGTAAGCAAGCGTATTTGCTTATGCCCAAATTGAAATGCAGCCATTAAGGTCGAGAAGTGACGTCACTACAGCAATACTACATTATAACACAATATCTTTAAGATTAAAAAAGCACACACACGCACACACACAGTATATATATGCAGTAAACACAAAATATCAGTAGCAGTAGTCTTTATGTCCACATGCATGCACATGTGTTTGTATGTGTAGAAGAACCTCCAAGAGGAACACAAGAGCAACTGGTGATTCAATGTTTCAACGGAAGTCCATTTTACACAAGGAGTCTCTCTCTCTGTGAACACATGCACACACATACACACCCATCTGGCACAGCAACAATTACAGTTAGCCTATATGTATGGAGTTGCGACACCCCAAAAAGAGTGCAATTTCGAAGAGCATGTCGACTATGATGTATGTCACAGGAGAGTGAGAGGGGCACTTGGCAAGGTTCTGGGAAAGCCGCTTTGGAAGAGGAGACTAGCCATCGCAACACTGTGATCATCAAACTCGTGTAACTCCACTAATACAGCACTGTTTTTAAAAATTCTCATGGCTCCATATTCATAAACTGATATAGAGTGTTAATGAGGGGTTAACAGCACTTGATCATGTTCCTTCTTTCTCTGTCCTATTGTAGCGTATTCATGGTATACTTGTGCGCAAGTGCCACACAACTAAATTCAGACCTCTGGGTGGTTTAGGAGCCCTTTAAACAAGCGTGCGGTCCAAAATTTCAAATGGAGATACAAGTGTGCCCTTGTACAATGTGAACATGTTGCCACAAGAACTTGGCAAATAAGTGCTTTATTAAAAGGCCAGTCAACAGGCTCAGACTTTTTTTTTACACCCGTAAACAATCTCGGTAATTTGTAAAGTAGACCACAGCGATCACGTTTTCTGAATATGACAGAGCTGCGCACTGCGCAGAGCCTCCATTTCGAAAAACAATTTCTGCACTCCTTTCTTACGCCTGACCAATGCTCCTTCCACGCGCAGTGATGTCCACTCAGCGATCGGCGATGTGACGCAGCACGCAGCTCGTCGATTAGTCTAAACCAAGTCTCAACAAACAGTAGTGAAGTCGACGGCAGTTCCTGTTCCCACTCACAGCTATGACAGAGCTATTCAATCATAGGAGTTGCGAAACTCCCCATAGGCTCCATGTATCAAGATCGAACACGTCACTGGCCCAGTTTTTGGGAGTGAGCAGATTGTCCCGCCACCTGTTGATCGGAACACCCACTATTATATGCACTATTTGTGTTTTGTGTTGCTGCTCCCAGATGGCACGACAGCTTGCTCCCAAACAAATCGAACTTTGCAAAAATCAGGCCTACTTCATGTCCGGGATTTGGAACGCAGTTTTGGTGCAAATAGAGCAACTGGTCTGCGGAGAAGCATCGGCACCAGGTAAACAGTAAACAACCAGGCATCGCAGCAAGCGAAAGTGCGTTACGACTGATCAAGTTTGCTGATGACGTCAATTGCTGACGTCTTGCTGCTGCTGAATAAATTTTGATCAGTAATGCATAGTTATGGATAACGACTATGCAGTTTAATGGCACGTAGGGAAAAGGAAACTCCTGCTTGTCGCAACTTTCACCATTGCTATCGACGCAATCAATAGTGCCCATCCAGTTTGCGTGCACCTATTTAAGCTGAAAACTAAAATGTTTGCAGAGCCACTGAAGCCTTGGTCGCCAATGTGATAGTGTTAAGATTGTGGATGGCAACTACGTCTTTCCGAAGCTTTGCTGCAGTTTCAGTTGTTCACAAATGCCTCATTCATTTCTTTGCGTCACACATTTGTGCCTCTTTGTATTTGGCATTCTTTGAGAACTGTCGGAATTAACCCGGCTGCAGGTAAACCCGGCTGCAGGTAAATATGACCAAATTAGAGAGAGCGTGCTTGCCAGGACCACAGAACACGTATGAATTGCCAACTTTCCAATTTAACGGCGTCGAATGAGCACTTTTACAATTGTCTGTGTATACAGGTTTGAGTATTCACAGCACTGCTTCCCTAGCTTGCTCGGCCACTACAACTGGGTAGTTGTGTAGATTAATGCAAGTGATTTAGTAAACGTCCGTTCACCAATAACGCGTGCCCAGCATGCTAGCCACCATGGTGGAAACATGCTACAGTGGACTGCCGATTACAATTTGAAGCACAGGGATCTCTGTGATAGATGCACTAGCACTTGTAGTTATGGTAGCAGTGACGGCTAAATAGTGAGAACACCAAACAAACCATATCACAAGTGCTCCGGTGAAGTACACCAATTGAAAACGACACAAATTGTCGCATCGCTGTTGCAGACTCTGTGCTAACTATAGTGATGCCATTTTGATGGAAGCTGAGGCACTGGTTCTCGCCTAGTGTGTGTAGGCACCTACAGCAGCACTGCACACAGCATTCCTTAAAGGGGCACTAAGCCCATGCAATCTTTTGGTCACTCACTAGTGAGTGACCAAGCTTGATGAAACTGTGGCGGCAGAGCATTGCTACCTGAATGAAGGAGAATGCAGCATGCTGTATGACGTTTTGTTTTGTGTTTCTACCTCAATTTCAATTAGTTACCAAACAACAAGATATTATAAATAAACGAATCATTCAGAAAATGGTTAGCAACAGTGCAGATCTCACACTGAAGATATACAATGAAAACGCCCGTAAAAAACGAAGGTACCTTTTTATATTCTTCTAACACTTTCTCAGCATCCTCATGCGAGAATTGGGACAGCAAGAATTTGCGCATTTGGTCCCACACGACTGTGGCGCTGTCAGCTGCCTTGAGAACAAATAAGTGCAGCCTGTTCCCTTCGACAATGTTGTAGTCCCCCAGTGATAGGCTATCTGCAGAAAGTCAAAGATAACATGCCATTTTATATTCATGAATTGCAATGAATTCACCAAAGTAAGCGACGAGAAAACGATACTTAAATCTCGCACATGGGAGTATGCTAGCGTATCAACTCCAATGCGTCGCTTGTTACTAAAAAAGCCGACCACTATACAACACAATGATCAGGACAACATGTCCCAGGCGAATCTGGCAAAGTCGCTTTATTACGAGAACGAACGAGAAAGTATTTCCAACCTAGCTAATATGCACGACACAACAGAAACACTTCAACCTTTAGAAGCCCGGCTAGTATCTTTCCTTGGGCCACTTAGGATGAAAAACTGACTAAACAAAGTTTTGTACGCTCACAGGTACACATCACACATACCTGAGAGTGTTTTGCCTCTGAACACTAGGCGCTGCTGGTCTACGGGAATTTGCAGTTGTTGGGCTACAAGATGCTTCACTGCACTGATGGAAGAACTCGCGGATACCTGCGAAAGAGGACATTTTTTTAAGCGGGGAGAACCTTACACGCCGATAAATAGTGCCCCATTAGCACTTGATTCACAGACAGCAAAAGTAGAGTCTCAACGCAGTGGAGAGAATCAAGAGCAAAACAGCAGCTGATGACGCTACCAGGAACCTAACCACAGCACGGTTGTTACTGGCCCAGCTGCGGGTGCTCGCACAGAATTCACCAGTCTAACTGGAGGTGAATCGAACAGAGAGACGCGAGCTATAGGAGCTCCGCGAGTGGACGTAGCTAGAATGGTAAAACGAGTAAAAAGTTATTACATACCCCACTTACCTCTATTGTGCATTCTTCACCCTGAAGGATTTTCACAGATATAAACATATTGCCTGTACTCCTTGTGCGTTCTTGTGACTTGATAACTGTGTCCTACTGCTCTATCATGACCGCATCATCAGTCCTAGCGTCACAGGTGAAAAATTTGGGGTAAGGTTCGACTCAAACCCCTCCGGTACAGCAACACAGAGCAAAAGTAGCATAGGCCTAACCAACGCCTCCTCTAGAAAGATGCCTGGAGGAATGGCTCGCGCTCCCAGCGGAGTTGGCCTGCCTTCAGTTTTGAACAAGCTCCGAAAGATGACGCTCGCGACCGACACTATCGGCAGTTGGCAGGTTAGCTCTGGGAGCTCACAGTAACACTACAAACGAGGCTTTACAAGGCGATATGGGTTGGGCTTCATTTGAGGCGAGGGAAGCACAAAGTAAAATACGGTTTGAGGAGCGACTTAGACATTTAGATGAGAAGAACTGGGCAGCCAGAGTGCACAGATACCTGTACCTGAAAAGTGTGGACACCCAATGGCGGAAGAGGACGCGAAAGCTGGTGACTAAATATAACTTGACCGCGGCAAATAAGCAAAGGGGGCCAGTTAAAAAGCAAGTGAGGGAAACAGAGACGCTCATGTGGAAAGAGAGGATGGAAAAGAAGGGATCGCTGGGAATCTACAAGGCAGGCAAACAAGAGATACGGAAAGAGAACTTTTATGACAACAATAAAGGTAGTGCGTTGCTCTTTGAGGCGCGGGCTGGCTGCTTGAGAACTCTAACTTACAGGAGCAAATATTCGTCACAGGATGAGACATGTGTTGGATGTGGCATAAATAAAGAAACAATCGACCACATAGTCATGGAATGCCAAAAGATTTAGCCGGATAGAAATGGGGGGAAGGTCACACTTCCTGAGGCGCTGGGCTTCGCGGTTGATGGAAGCATTAACTGGTCAGCAGTAGGTATTACTAAGCAGCGGCTGGAGTATTGGTGGAGGAAAAGCAGAGAAGTCGATAAAATAACATCCCAGCCAAGAGTAGCGGCTGGGCAAAATTAAAAAGACACCAGAGTTGAGGGACAGAATTTAAACTCGAACTATTAAGGTAGGCTAGATGGCGCATGCCGTCACCCCGATTCAAAGGGGAGGCCTTGATTCATCATCATCATCATCATCATCACGGCGGCGGTCGGTACCAGCTAAGCGTTTTTCATCTACGGCCCATAGGGGTGCGTAAGTCTGGAGTTGTTCAAGACCTGCAACTGTGCATCACTGTTTTGGAGGCTATGCAAAGTCTTGCGTTGTTGCACCGTCCGCCCCAGGTGACGCTAGCGACCGAGAACATATGGCGGATGAGTCGAGAGAAAGGCTTTGAGGTGGTGGAAATAAACAGAGAGGTGCATAGGTGGGGTGGTTTTCAACGAGACAAAATTCACTTCGATGGGCGGCTAGGTCATGAGGTGGGTTGGCGACTTGCAGGACGCGCAGTAGCTTTTTTGGGGGGCAAGCGGGCCCTTCGGGGTGCAGGATAGCTAGTAACGAGGAAAACAACCAGCGAGACTCTTTGACAGGTGGTATGGACAGATACGATTCCAAAGTGGCACCAGTATCTAAGATAGGTAGAGCCCGGGGTAGAAATAAACGTAGCCACGAGCGCCGAGCTATTTCAGACATAGGGTATATTAACATGCATGGCGGTAGGAACAGGCTGAAGTGAGAAGAGATAGAAGAACAGCTAAGGGAGGAGAGGCCGATGGTATACGGTTTTGTAGAAACACATCTCAGGGACATGGAACAACCTCCTAACAATACGGACTACGCGTGAGATTATTGTAACAGAACAGAAGGCAGCAGAAAGGGGAGGGTGCTATTGGGGCATTCATTCATAGAAGTACACACTGGCAAAGGGTCAAGTAGGAGTGCAAGGAACATTTATGGCTAAAAGGGAAAGTGGCAGGGCAAATGACACTCCTTGGTTTCGTGTACTTGAGGACCGGAGCAAAGGCCAGAGAGTAAAACCAGGCAATGGTAAAGTGTATATCAAAGGACATTAAGGAGTTAGGAGGAGAGTGCGAGGTAAATATACTAGGAGATATTAATGCACACATAGAAGATATAGATGGGTATACCAACCCGACAGGCAAAATGATCATGGATATGTGTGAAAGGCTGGATTTGATCATTTGCGACAGTACCGAGAAGTGTGAAGGGCGAATAATATGGGAGGTAGGAAGACTGCAGTCGACGATAGATTACGCACTGATGTCACATAGGATGTATGATAAGCTCAGGGGAATGCACATAGATGAAGGTGGCTCCAGAAGTCTGGGTAATGATCACAAACGTATCAAGCTAAGTTTTGGAAGAGCAGTGAAAGTGGGAAGGAGACAAGATGAACAACAACAGGAAAATTTTTATTCAGAAAGGCAAATTGAAATAGTCACTAAACAAATTGAGAAAGTAATCACTGAGGATAATAAAACAGTGTGGACATACACGAATCTAATTAGACTGTTTGGGTTAGAGCTTGCTAAGGCACGTGACAAGTCACCCCGGAAAAGAAGACACAAACCTAAGAGTTGGTGGGATGAGGAAGTTAAGATAACTATAGCAAAACGTCAGGAAGCCTATAGGGAACACAGACATGCTAAGCAGCGGGTTGAACCGACATATCATGTTGAAAGAAAATGGAACGTCTTTCTAAGCTGTACAAGGGAAGCATCCCTTCTGAACGATGAAAAGATTAGAAGAAAGGGGGCTCAGTTGCAGGCAGAAGTACATAAGAAGAATAGAAAGGGAGCTGCGAAATTTTGGAACCATCTAAACTCCCTAAGAAATGAGACGAGCGTAGAGCAGAGGTTTATAACTCCAGCTCAAGGTGCTAGGCTAGAAGGGGACGAAGCTATTGAATATATAAGAACAAGGGTGACAGAAAAATTTAACACAGAAGTGCTTTATGCACCACAATAGACAAGGATGAACAAATGGCGCAATGGCTCCATTTTCACAACAAGAGAAGGAAATGGCTGAGGAAAGGGTTCCTAGTAGTACATCAACAGGCCCAGATGGCATTCCAATTATGGTGATTAAGACATTAGGTCCAAAGTCTAAGCAGGCTTTGAGAGAGGCAGTGAGCAAAATAATAATCGATGGAGAAGTTCCCTATGGATGGAAACTTAGCAGGATGAGCATAATCTATAAAAAAAAGGGGGACAAAGCTGACATACACAACTACCGTCCTATAACAGTGACATCATTGGTCTACAGGCTGGCGATGCAGATTATAAAGCAAAGACTGCAGGCATGAATAGAGGATGAGGGGGTGCTGGGGGAACAGCAGAATGGGTTTCGGAAACACAGGAGGTTGGAAGTCAATCTGTTCTCACTGACACAGTGCATCGAAATAGCAGAAAAGGAACACAGGAACCTGTGGCTAGCATTTTTGGATATCAAGGGAGCGTACGATAGCGTGGTTCAAGAGAAATTGTGGGGAATACTGGACACACTAGGCGTGGAACATGTAGTCACTAATCTTTTAAAGGGTATCTATAAAGGTAACAAGGTAGTTATAAAGTGGGAAAAAGAGGTATCCAAGCCTGCAGAGGTAAAACGGGGGCTTAGGCAGGGGTGCCCCCTGTCACCCTTGTTATTCATGATGTACCTACAAGGATTAGAGGCAAAATTAGAGGGAAGTGGACTGGGCTTCAACCTCTCTTTAGTCAAACAAGGAAAACTTATTGATCAGGCACTACCAGCATTAATGTACGCAGATGATATAGTGCTAATGGCCGACAACAAGGAAGATTTGCAGAGATTGATGGACATCTGCGGTAATGGGGGAGATTGGTTAAATTTCAGATTCAGTAAGGAAAAAACAGCGGTCATGATTTTTAATGACAATGAAGGTAGTGAGCTTAGAATACAGGAGGTCACGCTAGAGATAACAGATAAATACAAATATCTGGGCGTATGGATAAGCGATGGGGCCAAGTACCTAAGGGAACACGAAATATACGTGTCGACTAAAGGTAACAGGAATGCAGCAGTAATGAAAAACAGGGCACTGTAGAATTACAATAGGTATGATGTTGTGAGGGGAATATGAAAAGGGGTCATGGTTCCTGCTCTGACATTCGGCAATGTGGTCTTGTGCATGAGATGAGAAGTTCAAGCATGATTAGAAATTAAGCAAAGTGGAATAGGTAGGCTTGCCTTAGGAGCTCACGGGAATACACGAAATCAGGGAGTACAAGATGATATGGGATGGACATTATTTGAGGGCAGGGAAGCTCGCAGCAAGATAAAATTTGAGAAGCGATTGAGAGAAATGGGGGAGGAGCGTTGGGCTAGGAAAGTATTCAGCTATTTGTACATGAAGAATGTCGATACAAAATGGCGGAAGCGAACCAGTGAGTGAAACAACTTTATTGACGATCTGGCATAAAGGGGGAAGGGGTAGGGGGATTAAAGCGAGACACTTGCGTGCTCGGACGTCCCGAAGGAAGCGAACCAGAAAATCGACTGGCAAATACTTGGAAAACCGAAGGGGGCCAAACCAAAAAGAATTATCGGTTAAGAAGAAGGTGAGGAAGCTGAGACCGATATGTGGAGAATTGGCATGATTAATAAGTCCGCACTAGAGATCTATCGAACTTTTAAGCAGGAAATAGCCAAGGAAAGGATCTATGATAATACTCGGGGTAGTTCTCTACTGTTTGAGGCCAGAACGGGAGCATTGCGAACAAAGACATATCGGGCCAAATACGAAGGGGTATACACGGTATGCAGTGCGTGTGGAGAGGAAGAAGAAACTGCCGAACACTTGATAATGTTCTGTAAAGGGCTTCACCCTGTAGTTCAGGTTGATGGCGCAGAGTTTTTCAAAGCACTAGGGTTTAGGGACAGTGAGGGCAAAATAGACTTTAAGCGGGTAGAATTAACTAGAAGGAGGTTATCTGATTGGCTGCTAAAGTCAAGGCCCGAGTGAAAATTGAACCCTTCGCTGCAAAGTACGAATCCTCAACCTCACTATTTAAGAAAAAAATAAATAAATCTAGTTTTTGGTTCATTAAGTATAACGGCTTGGTGGCTCTAGCCACCGCCCGATCTAAAGGGTACAGCCATATCCATCCATCCATCCATCCATCCATCCATCCATCCATCCATCCATCCATCCATCCATCCATCCATCCATCCATCCATCCATCCATCCATCCATCCATCCATCCATCCATCCATCCATCCATCCGTCCGTCCGTC